CTTCAGAATTTATTAAGATATTAAGATCCAAATTTCTCCAAGACACACACACACACACACCCTGAAAAATGGCAAAATGTAGCATTTTATTTACATGTGCATAAAAACAAAGCAACATGCATACAGGTAAGGCGCAAAACCCATTATCAGAAGGTTAAATTCAAGTGGGCTTATCATTCAATAAAAAATCCTCAGTAGATGCTTTTCTTCTAGTTTTAAGATGTCAATAAAGCCTTATTATAATACCATCATATCCAATTTGTTTTAGCAACTTCTACCAACAAGTGGACTATTATAAGCACTACTGACAAAAAAGGTTTAAAATGTGAATGGCAATTAAAGGTATAAGAAGCTATGTAATATTCAGAGTTTGAGATAATCACCTTTAACATTATCCTGACATTATCCTGTGTAATTTAATATAAAAATGCAAGTTCTTTAGTTACATGTTCACTGTTAGACTGATATATAGTTCAAAACTACTGGGGTTTTTTTCTGAAAAATAATTTGATGAATTCAAAGCCATAAAACATGGAAGGGGTGGGGAGAGAAGGAATCTGAAACAGATGGCATGTAATTTTTTTTTTCAGAGTCCATCTTGAACACAATCCCAATAATGTAAAAATCCAATTTAGCTCTCTAAATAAGTAATCTATAAAACCATAAAATGGTAATTCTGAAGTAAATTCTTTCTTTTTTTAATCCTGTCTTCTCAAAGATTCTATATTAGGCAGAAATGAGTAGAGACAAGTTAGAAGTTAAAAAGAGAAAAACTATCATTTCGTAAATTTGAAAGTTTTCAGGAAAAATCTACTTCTAATATAAAGCCATTAAAACAGTTTCTAAAAAAAATCAGCAATACTAAAATCTAGTTATCATATCAGTTTTTTCCTGATACACAAATGATTTAACTTTATTAGAAATTAAATAAGAGAACTGTGCTTTAAAATACAAATAAGCTCTGGAAGAGCAATCATTTGATTTGTGTGAAGAGAAAGCAGTATCTGGATTTTTTTTTTTTTTTTTAACGTGCCGTGCCCACAGTAACTCTCTTTCACTCCTGATTTGGCAGCACCCAAAATAAACTTTAAAAAAAAAAAATCAACTAAACTTTTTTCATTATATGATTCTAGTCTATAGTATAAATGTGTGTGTGTGTGTATATATATATACACACACACACACATATATATATACACACACACTGTATATGTATATACATGATTTATATATACATAGGTGATATATGTATGTGTGTGTATTTGGGTACACACACACACACACACACACACACACACACACACGTCTCTTACCTAAATCTTTTACAGATCATCCAAGATAGAAACCAAGGTTAAGGTTTAGTCATTTTTAGATTTCCTGGCAAGCAAATTCCATCACAGACAACTGCAAAGACCCTTGGAATCATCAGTCACATACTTGTCATGGAGAAAAATATCATCCCTAACAGTCTCTAGTCATTGCATACAATTTAGATAGAACAATTTGCTGTAACAGCTAGTATCATTTCATAAAAATGAATGGATTATTAAAGTTTTATATGAAGATGGGGGGGGAATGGCAGCTTCTGATAACTTTATCAAAGCAAGATAATCTTACCTTAAGATTCAAAAATGATGAAAAATAATGATCCAAGAAAAGAGCAAAAAGCTTAGATATATACAAAAGGCTGGATCCTTAGAAGAGCCATTTTAAAAGTTGAATAACTGTAGCAAAACAATTTCAACTTCGTTTAAAAGAAAAATATAGGGGCTGGGGCTCAGTGGTACAGCGCTTGCCAAGCATGTGCAAGGCATTGGGTTCGAATCTCAGCACCACATAAAAATAAATAAAATAAAGTTATTGTGTCCAACTACAACTAAAAAGTATATTTAAAAAAAGATGGGGCTGAGGGTGTAGCTCAGTGGTAGAGCGCTGGCCTAGCACGTGTGAGGCCCTAGGTTTGATCCTCAGCACCACATATAAATAAATAAAATAAAGGCATTGTTTCCAACTACACCTAAAAAATAAATATTAAAAAAAAATAAACCCCAACACTTTTTTTAGACAAGAGTCTCTTTAAATAAAACTCATCACAAATTTATCATATCTTTAAAAAAAGAAAAAAGAAAAGAAAAACACTGGAAAAATACATTTAAAAATGACTAAATTCACACAAAACTCAAAAACCTCTCTGAAAAGTTAAATTACAAACTTTGTACCAACTTTTCAGAAAAAAAAAAAAAACAAAACTATTTTTCCTACTAGGGACTGAAACCAGGCATGCTTTACCTAGCTCTTTTTATGTTTTATTTTGAGACAGGGTCTTGCTAAGTTGCTGAGGCTGACTTTGAACTTGCCAACCTCCTACCTCAGCCTCCCTAGCCAATGGGGTTACAGGCATGTGCCCCCATCCCCAACACTTTTCTTTTTTTTTGACTAGAGTCTCCTTAAATTGCAGCAGCTGTCCTTTAATTTGCCATCCTTCTTGCCTCAGCCTATCATGTCGCTGATATTACAGGTGTGCACCACCACACAAGGCCTAAAGTAAGTTATTTCTATTCCTTTATATTCCTTTGAGTATAAAGTACATGTACAATTTTTAAAATTACTTACTACAAGATCAAAAAAAAACATCTTAGCTGGGTGCAGAAGAGTAAGCCTGTAACCCCAGCAGCTCAGAAGGCTGAGGCAGGATGATCTCGAGTTCAAAGTCAGCCTCAGCAATGGGTGAGAGGCTAGTATACTCTGTGAGACCCTGTCTCTAAATAAAATACAAAAAAATATAGGGCTGGCAATGTGGCTCAGTGGTTGAGTGCCCCTGGGTTCAATCCCTAATAACAAACAAACAAACAAAAATGTTAGCTGAAAATCTTGAGATCTAATAGGTCACATGTAACTATGATTTTAGATCCATAAAGCCAACAAACATAAAGACCACACACTTCTTGATTTCCATGTTCTAATGAGAAATGACTTAAAGGTGGAAATTTATTCCATATCCATTTATTTTACAGATTAGTTATAAGAATTCTTTTTTGCCAATACTTTAGTCTAAATCAGAGTCAAGCTATTAATGTTGATTTTAATCTTAAAATTACTACTACTTTCTATTTTTATGCTCCAATTTTAATTCTCTTTAAAGAAATATGATGTTAATTATAATTACATACAGAGGCTGGGGATGTAGCTCAGTGGTACAGTGCCTGCCTGTATGTGCAAGGCCCTAAGTTCATTGCTCAACAAGGCAAGAGGAGGCTGTAATTTAAATGTACTATCCCCCTTGTAATACTGGTAAGAATTGTACTCATTTTATTTATTAAAAAAAAAAAAAAAAAAAAGCGGGGGCTGGGGAGGTGGCTCAAGCGGTAGCGCGCTCGCCTGGCATGCGTGCGGCCCGGGTTCGATCCTCAGCACCACATACAAAGACGTTATGTCCGCCGAAAACTAAAAATAAATAAATAAATAAATATTAAAAAAATTCTCTCTCTCTCTCTCTTAAAAAAAAAAAAAAAAAAAAAAAAAACAGGCTGGGGAGATAGCTCAGTGGTAAAGCACCTGCCTAGCATGCAGGAGGCCCTGAGTTCAATCCCCATCACCATATAAAAAACAACAACAATAAAAAATGATGTTAAAAAAAAAAACCCTGCGGACTGGGATTCTAGCTCAGTGATAAAGTGTTTGCCTCACACGTGTGAGGCACTGGGTTCGACCCTCAGCACCACATAAAAATAAATAAGTAAATAAAATAAGGATATTATGTACATCTACAACTAAAAAATATTTAAAAAGAAAAACCTGAGGATTTGCCCAAGGTCAACAATTAGCAAGCAGCACAGTGTGGGTTTAATCCCAGATTTATTTACCTCAAAGCCAATACTTCCACTTGACCACAATTATCTCCTTAAAAGATTAACACAGCTCAACAGCAGAGAATCTAGTCTCACCGAAAGTTCACGTATCTATTCTGAGACATGCATCACTAAACTACCTACAATTCAGTTAATGAAACAGAAATGAAAAGGATCTTTCTGCTTCATTTAAACTAGGGCAGGTTTACCGACAGGTAAAAAAGAGATTGTACGAGGCTTGCCTCAACATGTCTTTCCTAGACCTCTATATCCATACCGTTTTCCCAGTCTTCTTGTTTTTTGTCTCCCCCCCCCCCCCCCCCCGCCGCCAGGCACGTACATCTACTATACAAGGCAATGTCCGAGTATGGGTGCTGGGTGCTTTTCAGAATCGCACTTTTAAAAGAAAATTTGTACCAGATATGTATCTAGCTGGAAGTCTTTCCAAACATCTGAAGTGTCATTTAGGGGCAACAAATCCAGTTCCACCCTCTTTCTTCTACACGGTGATCCTTGCCCACTTGGGGGACACTGATCCTGTAGGACGCTGAGGCAAGGGAACAGTAAAGGAAGGAGCGGGGGAAGCGCACGGAAGTTGGGTGGAGGGAGGTCTCATTACCCACTCTCCTGCCCCAGCTCTCCCAAGGGCGGCTCCACTGTGCTCAGCCGAATCAGAACCCCCACAACCCCTGAAACCTCGCTGTCTCAGCGGGATGGGTAGGAGAATCCGGTAATGGAAAGCATGAGATTGCCCAAGCCACCCCGCCTAGTCCATACTCTCCTTTTGGCCCTAGATGATGCTCCCCCTTTTTCAAAGCGAGCCTTCAGGTGGCAAACTCCGGGTCAGCACTGGCCAAAGTCTTCTGCCTAAGAAGGGGCACCTTCTCCGTCGGTCCCTAGCCGGCTACCCGAAACTATCCGCCGGCAGTGTCTCCCAGCCCCTCCATTCCGCCCACGCAACCCTCCACACGCCGCCTGCGCCCCACCCGGGATCCCAGCGTCCCCCTCCCCGACCCGGGTAAGAGCCACCCATCATCCCCTCACTCTCTCCCTCTCTCTCATTCTCTCTCTCTCTCTCACACACACACACACACACACACACACTCCCTCAGACTCCAGCCTCCCGGACCCCGTCGAAGCTAGAGCAAGTACCTGGAACGGGCATGCTCTGGGGCTCAAAGGAGCGGGCGCGGTCCCCTCCCGGAGGCGCCGAGTGCTTCTCTACCCACCCGCAGCTGTAGCTTCTCTTTCCCAAGAGCGGGAGGGAGGAGAGGAGGCGGAGGGGAGGGGGAAAGTAAGGAGCTGAGGGGCGGCAGCAGCCGAACCGGAACCACTAGCACTGACCCCTCCCACGGCCAGGAGCCCTCGGAGTACCCCGACGCTCTTGATAGGACAAACCTAGAGCAGGCACGGAGAAATTGACACCACCACTTCCGGGTCATCCCCGCGGCAGCCCCTCCTTAGCAACAGCGTGGGGTTGCTAAGCGGAAGTGCCTCCAAAGCACCCACCCACCCTCATATCTTTTGGGACTACCAGGTGGTAGGCTGTGAGAGTTCTGCTCTGCTTTGGTAACACCCTCTTACCTTCTACTCAAGAATTTAGTTCGAGGAAATGCCTCGCTGCCAGAGGCAGTAAGCCCATGCCGCTTTTCCCTTCAGCCATTCTGGGTCATCAGCCCCCACCAACTGCATACACCAGCTCCCTTCTGCTCTGAGCCCCAGGCTAAGTGGCTCCTCTTAAAGCTCTTCTTACTGGTCCCTTGCGGGAGTTACTTTCTGGAGATTTAACAAGCATCTCCCTCTTGTGGATTTCCCTTGTGTTTCAGCTGGATTTTTAAAATCTTCAATGTGAAAGCTTTTTGATAGACTTCGTTCTCCTGTGATAGCTCCTGAAGCCAAATGGTGAGCAAGTTTTGTCTTCACCTTATTTTTTTTTTTAAAGATTGCGCGTGTTTGTTTATGGTCTAGAAACAACCTTGCTAAATTAAAGGGGAGGGGAGAGAATGGATGTAAATCCTCAAAAGAGCAAAGCAAAAGGCCAAAGGAACCCCATAATCAAGTTTGGTAATGAGAAACATATCTAATCCTCCACTCCGAATAAACGTTCATACCTGCACTGTGGGCAAGAAACATTTCAATAAGACATCTCATTTATTCTATATTAGGGTAGTTTGGGGTTTAAAAGTAATCCTTTTTATAAAAATGACTATCAGGCACGGTGGCACACTCCTGTAATCCCAGAGGCTCAGGAGTCTGAGGCAGGAGGATCGCGAGTTCTAAGCCAGGCTTAGCAAAAGCGAGGTGCTACGCAACTCAGTGAGATCCTGTCTCTAAATGAAGTACAAAATAGGGCTGGGGATGTGGCTCAGTGGTAGAGTGCCCCTGAGCTAAATCTCGGGTCCCCCCACCCCTAAGAAAAACCCCTCATCATTATAGTAATTAAATATTCAGAGAAAATGAGTAAAAATCTTGTCTTTCCTATCTTGAATAGGTCTGCTTAGATGCAGTACAGCAAGAGGGTAACTTCTAAATTTTTCTCTTCATTAGCAGTGAATACACTTGCAATTGCAGTCTTCAGTTTTGTGGGTCATGATAACCTCAATCACGGATATTGTATTGTTGTCCACCTGAGCTAGGACGGACAGGAAATAGCTTTGGTAACTTGGAAGAAATTCCAGGTCTACTGGGTTCCGGAATGCATGAGACAGTGTTAAATTGATTTACCTAGGCAGTCAATTCAGCAAAGCCAGTTAGGAAATTACTTCAGACTCTAATGTCTCAGTACATCTAAAACATTCCCACTCCTGCCATCTACATATGCACATTTGAGAACTCACACACCCTACTTCAAAGCATATCCAGTAATTAATTGTTCTTTAAAAACCTGGTTGAAGCTGTTGTAGTGGTGCATGCCTGGGAGGAGAATGGCAAATTCAAAGCCAGCCTGAGCAATTTAGTGAGACCCTGTGTGTGTGTGTGTGTATATATATATACACACACACATATTGATCATATATATGTACACACATATACATATATGTATATATACACACACACATATGTACATATGTGTAGTGTGTGTGTATTCCCAATTCAATAACATTCCGTTTAACATCCACTTCTAAAAGACAAAGCAAAAATATAATATACAATCTACAATCATCAGGTATCAGTTTGGAAGTTGATAAAATCAGATTTTGCATTTGGAAGGAATAAAATTGAAACATTTGGTCAGGCATTAATTCAGGAAGCACACAAATGGATGTGTATTGTGAAAATAAGTAGTCTTTTATTTCAAATTTCAGAAAACATGCCTGTTAAAACATGGTTAATTTTGAAAATTGACAGCTTGTCAGTATGCAAAAAGTGTGCTAGGAAAGCAAGAACATCAATTAACAAGTAGTATTATACCCACTTCTTCAGTTAATCTTGAGAAATGCAGTGAATGCTCTAAGGACTTTAGACATAGCTGTTGGTTTATGGCATGATTTGCCTGTCATATTTTATTGATTTCCAACTTTAAAAGTATAAATGCAAAGGGTAATATTTTATGATACTGAATCAAATATCCAAGAAAAATTCCTCCCTATTAATGTGGCTTATCGAATCTTTTTTCCTTATTCTATGCTAGAATTTTGTCTTTTTGTTGTTTTAACTGTCCTTAACTTTTTCCACATCCATCCAAATTTATTCAAGAGGGCATTTTTGGCCCCCTTTCCGAAAAATGACAGAAACTAAATTTAATTAATACTGATTTTTTTTTCATGTGCAAAACTCTAACTCTGCTTTTTTAAAGCAAATAAAGGGAATAAAAACATAGCATAATTTCAATGCCCAAATGACATCAGTACAAAGATGTAAACAAATCTCAAATACAGGACATTAGTAATTGGAACATCATGCACTGATTTAATGTTAGCAAGAACAAGAAGCTTTATAACAGGTAAAAGAACCAACATAGTGCATTAAAATTGAATATTAACCTAAGTAACCGTAATTTTACAAATTCTCCAATTTCATAACTTGCTTTTGAATAAACTTTAGCCTCATTTTTTAAATCGAATGCCTATTCATCAAAGCTTACTGAACAAACATATCTATGCAAATTTATACCCTAAAATACCAGAGTAAACAGGAGACATTATTCAAAGATGAATAAGTTCTATTCTTTTTCATCATCTGTGTGGTCAGGTTGCAAAGGACATACTCTGTAGAAAGAACAGAGAACTTTAGTAGTTACCTAAGTATCAATTCTTTAAAAAAATTAGAAAAAAAAATTAGTAAAAAACATACAGAAATCAGGAACAGTAATTTTATTTATTTGTTTTTTAAGTCCTTTTTTTTAATTTGTAGGAATAATAATTAATAATGTAGTGGCTGTGGTCAAGTGCCAGAAATGAAAGAAAATTTAACTTTATTAATTGACAAATATGTATAAATTTCAAGTACTAGTGCAACACAATTTGTAGCAATTTCTTTGCCTCTTATTTTGCAGAATCAATATTTCCCATTTAGAATATGTTGCGATTTTTATTTACAGTGTCTCATTCCTAGAGCATCTTTTTTTTTAAGGTTAAGTAAATTGATAAATAGAATATAATCTATCAGTAAAAACTTCATGATAGATAGGTGCAGTGTTGCAATTGCATGATCCCAATTGCTTGGGAAGTAGAAGCAGGAAGTTCAGGAGTTTGTGGACAGCATTAGCAACTTAGCAAGACCCTGCCTCAAAATAAAAATATAAAGTGTGGGCTGGGCGGGGCGGGGGTTGTGGCTCGTTGGCAGAGCGCTAGCCTAGCATGTATGAGGCACTGGGTTTGATTCTCAGCACCACATAAAAATAAATAAAGGACCATCAACAACTAATAAAATATTTTTAAAAATATATAAAGTGTGGGGATATAGCTCAGTGGTAAAGCATGCTCCCTAGGTTCAATCCCCAGTATTGAAAGAAAAGAAAAAACCAAAACTTTGTAATAATCCTGGCCAATAACACATGCTTATTATCCCAGCTACTCAAAAGACTAAGGCAGTTCCAGGCCAGGACAACTTGGTGGGACCCTGTTCCAAAATAAATAAAAGGGTTGTAACCCAATAGTAGAGTTGTTGTGTTTGTTGTTGTTGTTGTTGTTATTTTGTTTTGTACCAGGGATTGAATGCAGGGATGCTTAACCACTGAGCCACATTCCCAGTCCCTTTTTTGTTTTTAATGAGGTAACTTTTTTTAAAATTTTATTTTATTCATTTATTTTTCTAATTATTTTTTAGTTTTTAGGTGGATACAATATCTTTACTTAATTTTTATGTGGTGCTGAGAATCGAACCCAGTGCCTCATGCATGCTAGGCAAGCCCCATCATTTATTTTTTATATGTGTTGAGGATTGAACCCAGGACCTCACATGTCCTAGGCAAGTGCTCTGCTACTGAGCCACAACCCCAGCCCTGTTTTTTATATTTTATTTAGAGACAGGGTCTCGCTGAGTTGCTTAGGCTGACTTTAAACTTGGAATCATCCTGCCTGCAGCCTCCCAAGCCATTGGGATTACAGGCATGCAGGGCACCCAGTTTAGTAGTAGACCTCTTGCCTAGCACGCGTGAAGGTCTGGGTTCAGTCCCCAATACCATTAAAAAAAAAAAAAAAAAAAGAAAGAAAAGTAATAATAAAAAGCAAAAAATTAAGCAGTTCATTTGAGCAGAGGAAACAGCAAATTTGTTAACTTATGGTTGTCATAGTTTTTAAAAAATAATTTACATTATCCCAAAGCCATTCATATTTACTCTTTTTATAAAGAAAAAGTCAATTAAGAATTTAATCATAAATCAAAATTTTTATTTTAGAGATGGAAAAGATTTGTGACACCTATTTAAAGATTTTAGTTTTCAAATTCGATCCAGTAAGCCTGAATGATCATAGAACTGGGTACCAAAAGAAGGAAGCTAAAATGAAGGTAACCAGACATTGTATAAGATTATCATTGCTTGTGTAGGGATGCATGCATATACCTCCAGTGACTCTGCAAAGTTCAAGACCAGCCTGAGCAATTTAGTGAGGCTGTAAGGAATTTAACAAGACTCTTCTCAAAAGAAAAATAAAGAGGGCTAGCGATGTAGTTCAGTGATAAGTGCCTGTGGGTTCAATTCCCAGTACAAAAAAAAAGATGATCATTGCTTCATATCTCAGTAGGCTATGCTGGAATTTAAACCAAGTTAACTAATGAATGCTATTATGACCTAAACTTCCTTTTCATACGGTCTAATTTACTTAGGCATCATAGTTCTGTTCAAGATTTAAGCAGAAGCTGGGCATGGTGGCACACTCCTATAATCCCAAGGGTTTAGGAGGCTGAGGCAGGAGAATTTGAAATCAAAGCCAGCCTCAACAATTTAGCAAGGCCCTAAGCAATTTAGTGAGACTCTGTATCAAAATAAAATATAAAAAGGGCTGGAGATGTGACTTGATAGTTAAGTGCCCCTGGAACAAAAAAAAAAAAAAGATTTAAGCAGATATTCTCTTGATTCTGACTCTCTATGTGCAATAGATGGGAGTTTACCCTGCCTTTAGGAGAAAATAAGACCACAAGAGTAACCATATTTCAAAATATTACTTTGAAGGTTCATATTCCTTCTAATAAACTATTTCAATAAAGGAATAATTGTAACTGTCTTAAAAGTCAAATCTAAGAAAGGGGCCTAAAGAAAAAATGTAAACCTGTATTACTACATTTATGGCACAGATCTTATTATACCATGGATTAAAGTTGTTTGAGAATATATGTATAATTTCTTTCCATATGATGGAAAACTGAAATATAGGTTTATTCCTGTATTATAGCCAAAATTGGCTGTCTTGCCAAATTATTTTATTTCCCTAATGTTAATTCAAACAATTCAAAAGGATTAAAGTATATTCTAGAGGTAATCTTGACTACTACACCTTGTTAATTTAGAATAAGAAAGAACAAGGAAAAATGATAGCAATGAGGAGAAACAAAAAGAGAGGAACATGAAAACAAACCTATTATTATTCGTGATTTTTTTTGTGGGTGGTGGTGCTAGGAATTGAACCCATGGCCTTAATGCATGCAAGGTAAGCACTCTACTGAGCTATATCCTAGCTGGAAAACAAACCTATTAAAAAGCTTGGTGGCTCATGCATATAATCCCAACTACTCAGGAGGTTGAGACAGGAGATATCCAAGTTCAAGGCCAGTCTCAGCAACTTAGTGAGGCCTTAAACAACTTAGGGAGTCCCTGTCTCAAAAAAAAAAAAAAAAAAAAAAAGGGTTTGGAATGTAGCTCAGTAATAAAGCACCCCTGGGTTCAATCTCTAGTACCAAAAAATTTTTAAAAAGTTTGATGGTTGATTTTTATTGAAATAAATTATGTGCTTGCTTCAGCCACACATATACTGAAATTGGAACAATGCAGAGAAGATTAACATGGCCCTACACAAATATGACATGCAAATTCAAAAGTAAAAAAATAAACAATCATAATAGTGTTATTTTGTTTTGGGGGATATCAGGGATTGAGCCCAGGGGCAGTCAGCCACTAAACCACACCCCCAGCCCTACTTAGTATTTTATTTAGGGTCGGGGTCATACTGAGTTTAGCCGATCTCCATTGCTGAGGCTGGGTATGTCACCGAGCCTGGCCCTAAGCCCTTCTTAAAACATTTTGAGAAGGGTCTCACTAAGTTGCTGAGGCTGGCCTCAATCTTACCTTCCTGCCTCAGCTTCCTGAGTAGCTGGGATTGCAGGTGTGCTCTTCTCTAGCAATCATTTTGTTCTCTTTCAGCCCTTTATTTTTATTTAGTTTGTATTCAATGTAAATCAATTCAAAACACAATGTACAATCCATACCAGATGTACAGTGTTAACTATGAAGCAAGAGCAAGTTTCGTTCACATATACCACAGGTTGAGATCTGTTAGATCTGGTAGATTCTAAAAATGGCTTAAAACTTTTTAAAACTGTTGTAGCCATAATGAATATTGGAACAGCTAAGGGTCAATGTATAACTGTGTGAACCAGATTTCATGCAGTGTCTGTTCCTAAAAAGTTATATACATTGAGGCAGTTGTAAAAGTTTTTCTTTCTAGAATCAAGTCCAGTTAAGGCTTAGAACTAAGTCTTGACTACAGAAAGTGTTCCAAATGTAGCTACTCTGATCTACAGAAGTTTTTTTAAAGTATTTACAGAAAGAACATTAAAAAAAAATTGTGAATTTAATGGGATTTCCAATCTTCATTTCCCAAATACACTATTTTTGTCTACTTCATGTTTGCCTCTTATTTTCAAGATTTATCAAATATGTCTTTGAGTCATAAATTTTCAATTATATGCAAATATAATTATTCAATATATGCAAAATAAAAAGTAATGTTGTAAGATGGGTTTAAGTCAGTATACTTCTATTCTTCTGAATGAAGTACGGTAGCTAATGAATGACACTTTTATTGAATGGTTACATGTGCTAAGAAATGCTTACCAATTATTTTAAGTATACATGCAACTCTTACTCATTCTTGGATTTGGAATAGATTCCAATCTATCCTTTCCCTGGCACATGTCAATTAATACAAAGAACGTTAAATGCAATGTCAAGCAGGGATGTAGCTTAATGGTAGAGTGCTTGCTTAGCGTTCGCAAGGCCCTGGGTCCAATCTACAGCACCAAAATAAAAATAATAAATAAATAAGAATAAAAAATTAGGACTAAAACAAAACAAGAGAGGAGCTAGGGTTGTGGCTCAGTGGCAGAGTGCTTGCCTAGCATGCAGGAGGCCCTGGGTTCGATCCTCAGAACCACATAGAAATAAAATAAAGATATCATGTCCACCTAAAACTAAAAAATAATTATTGAAAAAAAAATAATTTCCATTAACACCTGATGGTTCTTGCCAACATACATATAAGTCATGAAATCTTTTTATATTGCCTAGTTATTTTACAGCCTTCTAGATTTAGTGAGCCAAAATGAAAACTGAATTTCCATTCCACAGGTCATTCTTGTCTTAGAGCAAAGTAACATAATTCTCTTCAAGGTAGTTTTTAAAGTCCATATTTCTTAAGCCACATTAAAAAAAAAAAAAACTGTTAAGTAATTTTTGATGTTGACTTTCTCCTTAGTCTTGTACATGAAACTCCAGCAGATTTAATATTGGCATTCTCTATTTAGTTAAATCCTTCAGATGATCTTCAAACCATCCCAGTTTGGACTCTCAAGATTTTCTGTGTTGATAAAATGAGTGGAATTAGCAGACATGATGAACACCTGTTGTTGTTGTTTTTCCTACCAAGACAGACTTCCAGATGCCATTTGGATTGAGATTTAAAAATATGAGTTGGAGAACTGTAGATTTTTCTTAGTCTATTCTCTCAATAGTAGAGATGTAGAAGGGTAAGTAAGACCACGAGAAGACTGGCTATAGTCTTTATAGCGCTGGAGCTGGTTGCGGTGGTGGGCTTTGTGGTTTCATAATAGGTAGCACCTGGTGTGCTAGTTAAAGGAACAAATGAATTAATCTGCATGGGTAGGAGCAGTACCAGAAGCAGCAGCCCCAGACTGAGCCTGGCCACCATCCTCTTACCCTTGTGTGTCCAACTTGCTGCTTTTGTAGGCTGGAGGGTCTCTGAATTCCTCACTGGTGTGGAAGTAGCAAACCACGCCTTATATTCAAATGGCATCACAATGACAGTGACAAGATGCCACACCTTTCCTTACCCAGTCAAATACTTTGTTTTTGAAAGTTTTAAAACATTTAAAAATTGTTGCCTGGATCCCATTATTAACATTATTAAAAATTGAAAAAAACAGGTTTCAATTTTTTTTTCCAAGTAGCATTATCTTTTTTCTGGTTATTAAAAGTGACTTGTTGGCCTGGGGTTGTGGCTCAGCAGTAGAGTACTTGCCTAGCACATGCAAGGCTCTGAGTTCAATCCTGAGTACCACATAAAAATAAATAAAGGTATTGTATCCAACTACAGTTAAAAAACTATTTTAAAAAAAAGTGACTTGTTTGTTGAAATTTGTTAGTATAAGAGGTTTTTATTCAGAGATAATTGTTACTAATATTTGTTATATTTTCATACAGTACAAATACATGGTTTAGATTTTACACAGTAAGGATTGTATCCAGAATTTTTTCTTAACATTTATCATGAGCATTTTCCTGTCATTAAAAGCATAGTTTAATTAGCTTTTTAAAAAGTTTGCAGTGGGTTGGGGATATAGCTCAGTTGGTTGAGTGCTTACCTTTCATGGACAAGGCCCTAGGTTCAATCCCCAGCACCACACACACAAAAAAAAGTTTGCAAGCTAGTTGTTTGTGGTAGCTCTTAATCCTAGCTATCTAAGAGGCTGAAGCAGAAGGACATCAATTTTGAGGCCAGCCTTGGCAATACAGTGAGACTCTTTTTTTTTTTTTAAAGAGAGAGAGAGAGAGAGAGAGAATTTTTTAATATTTATTTTTTAGTTTTTGGCAGACATGACATCTTTGTTTGTATGTGGTGCTGAGGATCGAACCCGGGCCGCACGCATGCCAGGCGAGTGCGCTACCGCTTGAGCCACATCCCCACCCCCTACAGTGAGACTCTTATCTCAAAAAAAACAACAACAACAAAAAACTTTGCACATTGAACTCTATATATGTATAATTTTATCCCTGTTTTGTTTTGAAATATTCTTAAGTACTTGTAGAGAAATTGTCAAGATAATATACCATAGTATCTGCCTTGGTTGTTTCTATATGGATATTTCTATATTTTTCAACTTTTTTACATTTTATATTTCTTGGGGAAGTTGAAATAGTATTTTGTTTTGTTTTGTTTTGATGCTGGAGTTTGAACCCGGGACCTTGTGTATGCTAAACACAGGCTCTACCACTGAAGTATATTGTCAGCCCCAAACTGGTAGTTCAGGAGGCTAAACAGAATTCAAGCTAAATAAACCAACATGGAAACTGCCTTTCAAAAAAAGTCTAAAGAAAAAGGTGAAAATTAAAGAATAAAGAGTATAAGTTCACAGTTAATGCAGCACTTACCTGCATGAGTACAGATTCTCTTTGGAATAAGAAAAATAATACTTTTGATGATGTTTAAAATTTTTGAGTGATTTATATTAAGGAAATAGTACAAGTTTAAAAAAAAAAAAACTTTAGTTTTTATATTTAGCTTGAAGAGAAACTTTAAAGTTATTCAATATCTCATTCATCCTTTATTTTCAAGAGTATATTTTCTTTATATTCCAGAATATAAAAACTTACTTTCTCTTTGCTTTTCCTAAGCCACTGCTTCCTGGCTCTTCAGGAATCCGATTCTCCTTTTCAGAATCTTTAGGGGACAGCCTAAAGAATTCTCCAATTCCTTTCTGCCACTTGGGAGTTGGACGTACACAAACTGGATTTCCTCCTGCATACTTATTTTCAGCTGTAAAATATAAACAGAACTAAATAAGAACTAGGAATCCAACCACCATTCATTAAAAAGACTTCATTCTTTCTTTCACTTCAAATTCTCAAAGGTATAAGGGATATTACATCCATCTTAAAAAACTAGAAAATGTGACACAGGAAAGCTATAATCAGACAATAAACTCAGTTTGATAGTTTGATCCTAGGAAAAAAAATCAGTAATAACAATTTTTAAAGCTGGAAAATCTTTTTCATATTTGTCCATGAGCAGAGCTATCAAACAGTATTATGTACTGTCATACAATATTTGATATAGTTTTTCCTAACATAAGGTATCACCCTATAGAATAAATCACCAGAATTTTATTTAATAAGATCATTTAGGCTGGGCACAGTGGCCCATGCCTATAATCTTAGTTCAGAGGCTGAGGTAAAAGGATCACAAGTTCAAAGCCAGCTTCAGCAACTTAGCTTGACTCTGTCTTGAAATTAAAATAAAAAAGTGCTGAAAATGTAGCTCATTGGTAGATCAACCCTGAGTTCAATTCCCAGTACCAAAAGAGGAAAAAAAAATAAGGGCATTACCAATTTCAAACACTTACTGGAAGTAAAGATAGAGATATGTTAAACATTATAAAAGGTGCATTTGTTCAAAGCATTCATTAAGGGCGTACATTCAGTTGGCTCTGGTGATTCAGCAGTGTTCCAAACAATGGAATGTGGCCCTAATGGGATTTATTCTAGTGGTACAGGTTGTAAGATAGTCTCAAAAAATTCATCTTCTTTCAAATGTTTTGACTACTATTCCCTTTTTAAAAAAGATTTTTTTAGTTGTTGATGGACCTGTATTTTTATATATTTATATGCGGTGCTGAGAATTGAACCCAGTGCCTCACACATGCTAGGCAAGTGCTCTACCACTCAGCTACACCCCAGCCCTACTATTGCCTTTTATCTGAAGAGACTGAAATAATAAATATTTTCTAAGAAAGTGTTTGGAATAGGAGGAAATTTGAGTTAACTGAAAAATCTATGAAGTCTTCAACAGTGCTCTCCTTTCTGTTTGTAACTAAATCTTGTGGAATTAATCTTCCTGCCTGTTCAACTTTCTACTGAAAGGGAAGAGGCACCAGATGGCAGGGCATTTTCTCATCCTCTCCACATGCAGGAGGAGCAGTGTGAAGCTATTTCCCTCGCCTTGTTACACTCCTACTCAAACAAAAGCAGTATCAGGAGCTGCAAAGTTAGAAAACACACACAAACACCACACTCAAAAAAAGACAGAGGAGGGGATGGGAGTGAGGGATAGAGGAAGAAAGGAAGGAAAGCAAAAGCAAAGGCAGAAAAAGTGTTTATACTAAGAAGACAATGTAAGCCTGACTAAGGGGCACACACCTCTATTCCCAGTGAACTGGGAGGCTGAGGCAAGAGGATGGCAAGTCAAGGCCAGCCTGGGCAACTTAGCCAGACACTGTCTCAAAATTAAAAAAAAAAAAAGAAGAAGAAGAAGAAGACAATGTAGTTAGCATAGTCAATCATTATCCTAAATCTAGTGAAGAGGTACTTAAATAGTTTCTAAAAGAAAAAGCCAACTGTCAATAATAAACACTAAACAACAACAACAACAAAAATAGGTTTGAAGATAAATCTGGGTCCCCATCTCAAGGCTTGAGATTCATTTCCATGAGACTTTTTTTCCCATACTCTAGCCCCCTAATAGGCCAAGGCCCCCTCAAAGGATAGGGAAGAAAGGCCTGAGAATCTCTAATAAAATTCCAAAGTGGGCCAGGGCTGTAGTGCCAAACCTGATCCTCTTTTAGGAGGCGTCCTCTTACTCAAGGAGCTTGCAGCAGGGCGCTTCTTACCTTTCCTTGATGAAAGCGATGTAGAATTAGTAGCAGAGGTGGAGGAACCAAGGATCTTTCTTGGGGCTCGAGAAGCCACCACTGCAAAGAGAGGCGAGGAGGGGAGCATTCAGAAAGGGGCAGGAAGGTTTTGATACCTTGTCTCGCCACATTCTCACCACAATCCCGGACCCTCGCAGCTTCAGGAGGACAGCCCAGGGATCCAGAACAGCAGGATGGCCTTCCCTTGTCCCTCCAGCCGCTTCCTCAAGGTAAAGGGGACTGGTGGCTGCTTCCTGGCTGGCTGGAGTTTGGGTGTGCCGGGCCCAGGGGAGCCAGGGCATCTCGCCACCCAGGAAAAACCCCTCTCCACCCCTTGCTGTCCACTATGGCGCTGGATCCCTTCACCTTTTCTGTAGGTGCCTGGGACGCTGTCTGCTTTAGTTCGCACCATGTTCAAACGGGAAGAGACAAGAAAAACGTCCGGGCCGAAGAGGTTCACAAGACAAGGACCTAAAAAAAAAAAAAAAAAAAAAAAAAACCTCTCCCGCCACCGTTTATATTAATGTCTTTCCCGCGCTCCACAAGACTCTCGCGAGCTGTGGTTCCCCATTGGTTCTGTTCTTTAACCCCAAACCAATCGCCGGAGTCCAGGGGTGACATCGGCGAGGCTTAATGCAGTGCTGGCTAGTCCATCAACTCGCAGGGGCTTGTGATTCGCACCAGCGCCAGGTGGGCGGTGCCCGGACACTTTCCCGGGTTACTTGATGTGTTATTGCTAAGATTCTGAAGTAGGTAAATGGGCCTGTTTATAGAAACGAAATAAAACAGCAATGACAGAAAATTACATTTCTTCAAAAAAATACATAGGGTTAAATACACAATGATTGACTTCTGGAAACGAAACCTAAAATTAAGCTGATTTTTGGACACAAATCAAAATAAGAATTTTTGAGAGCTTTCAAACCGCAGGCATGACTTATCTATATCATTCATGTCAAAACAATTCTATGGGATTGGGAAAAGGAAACTAATATAATTTTTGACAGTCTTTTGGTTTTAGGATCATGTGAAATTAAAAAAAAAACACTGTGTGAATTGTATATACATACACACACGAAGAGAAATAATAAAATGCCTTTCTGAAAAAAAATCTGCCAAATGTGTTAAAGGCTAGATAGAATAGGGAAGTAATAATTTTTCTCTATCCCTATGTTTATCTTCTAATTACAAAACCCTCAGAAAATGATTTTCACTCTGAATACCTGTGCATAAAAAGTAGGATCAAATGAATGTGATGTGGGGTATATTCTGTTAATTGTTCATTTGAAAGGCAACTCTGGAGAGTGTGAGCACAGCATTAATTTGTTCCAAAGAATTATGTTTGAGGTTTTTTGTTTTGTTTTGTTTTTGCAATGTTGAGGATCAAACCCAGGTCCTCTCACATCTAGGGAAATGTTTTAGCACTAGGCTACATTCCAGGATAATGGATACGCTGGAATTAAAAAAAAAAAAAAAAGGCTACTCACTACTTTAACAGCCATACTGCATTATAGAATTAGAGGAGTTAAGCAACAGATTAAATTAACATTCTAAAAGATTAAATTAACTTTATAATAGTAGGAAATGTATTCACAATTAATTACCTGAGTTTTATCTTAACCCTGGGGCCTAAGATTGCAGACACCTTTGTAATAGAAAAATCAAGAAGCCTCAGGGTATGCTCTGTTGTCATCAAGTTCCATCTCAATTCACTCTGGTAAAATGCCATTGTTTCCTTTTCAGTTAAAATTCTCTCTTCCCAGGGGTTAAGAAAGTTGAGGTGGGGAGAGTCAGCAACTTAGCAACCTCAGCAACTTAGAGAGGCCCTATGCAACTTAATGAGACCCTGTCTCAAAATAAAATATAAAAAAAGGCTGGGGATGTGGCTCAGTTGTTAAGTGCCCATGGGTTCAATTCCCTGTACCAAAAAAAAAAAAAAAAAACCCTTCTACAAAGGGCTGAATTGAATTCACATATCAAATTCCTACAAAGATTGGATCTGCCTACAGTCTTTTTTCCTATTCTACAGGCCAGTTAAATTGCTAGAAAGAATTTCAAATGTACCTTTTCCTATAGAGGCTGTCTACATATTACTATTGCTATAGTTGTGTTTGTATGTCTTTTGGGGAGTGGGCATGTGCTGGGAGTCAATCCTATATGCTAGGCAAGCACTCTTACCAATGAGTTACATCCCCTGCCCTATATGTCTTTTTAATACGATGACAATGAAGAATGCATATTAGAGAAAAAAAATAAAGTCATGCCTACTAAAATTATTTTTCTTTTATGTTTTTATTGGTACATTATGTACATAATGATGAAATGTGTTATATTGTGTGTATCTACAATATAATTTGACCAGTATCACTGCCTAGGATTTTCCCCCTCCCTCCCCACTACTAAAAATTCTAAGAGAAATATTTGCTTTGGAGAAGTACTTCTCCTTTACAATTCATGAAACAGAGAACTATGTGATGTGAAAAATATTGTTAAATGTGTGAATGCAATTTCTACTTAAATTTGTACCAAAGTATATCTTTGGTGTGCATGTTTATGTTTATGTGGGCTGGCAACAGAACCCAGAGCTGCTGGGCATGGTGGTACAAGGCTGTAATCCCAGTGATTTGAGAGGCTGAGGCAGGATGATCACAAAGTTGAGACCATCTTCATCAACTTAGTGAGACCATCTCTCAAAATAAAAAATAAAAAGGGCTGAGGATGTGGCTTAATGGTTAATCACCTGGTATTCAGTCCTCAGTACCAATAAAAAAAAAAAAAAATGACCCTAGGGCCTTGTTAAGGAAACTTTCTACAACTGAGCTACACCCCCAATCCCAAAGAATATATTTAAGTCATATTAACTGGGTGTGCTTGCTTTGCTTAGGCAGAAATGTAATTGAATACAGGATAATGATTGTAAATGGTGTTATATGCACACATTACAACCTAGAAATTATAATCATAAACATATGCTTTATGAAAAAAAATTATTCTTGAGGACCTGGTCATTTCATTATAACATGTATGTGTTAAGTTCTTTTTTAAAAAATATTTTTAGTTGGACACCACACCTTTATTTTATTTATTTATTTTTATGTGATGCTGAGGATCAAACCCAGTGCCTCACATGTGCTAGGGAGGCACACTACTACTAAGTACAACTCCAGCCCTGATATGTTAAGTTCTATTGTGCTTTTTACGAATTTAAGTCATAGTCTGTCTTCCAGAAGTCAATACTTTAGGGGCTGGGGATGTGGCTCAAGCGGTAGCGCGCTCGCCTGGCATGAGTGCGGCCCAGGTTCGATCCTCAGCACCACATACAAACAAAAGATGTTGTGTCCGCGGGAAACTAAAAAATAAATAAATATTAAGATTTTCTCTCTCTCTCTCTCTGTCTAAAAAAAAGAAGTTAGTATTTTAGTTATGGGACAGAACAAATATGGAAATGGGTAAATGATTTGAATGTTTTAATTAGTAATAAATGTACCAGATTTTTATAAAGAAAGAAATCGCATACCCACAAATCATGCATCCATTATTACTTAATATCAACAATATTTTGCTTTTAAAAAAAAGTTAAAAATTCTAAATTAATGACAAGAACAATCTAACCTCAATGTAAGTTAATACACTTTTATGATTTTGATTAGTTATGCTAGTAAAAACATTAGCATTAAGAAAAGTTCAGGGGCTGGGGATGTGGCTCAAGCGGTAGCACGCTCGCCTGGCATACGCGGGACTCTGGGTTAGATTCTCAGCACCACATAAAAAATAAAGATGTTGTGTCCACTGAAAACCAAAAAATAAATATTAAAAAGATTCTCTCTCTAAAAAAAAAAAAGGAAAGGTCAAACTGGGGCTGGGGTTGTGGCTCAGCGGTAGAATGTTTTCCTAGCATGTGCAAGGCACTGGGTTCGAATTTTAGCACCACATATAAATAAATAAAATAAAGATCCACCGAGAACTAATTTTTTTTAAAAAAGTGAAACAACATTCAATGTCTAAATAGGCTAATAGGAATTTTTAAAACTTGGGGTTTTTTGGGGGGAGGGGCGGTAGGGATTCAACCCAGAGTTACTTTAATAGTGACATCCCCAGTCCTTTTTATTTTTTTAAGGCAGGGTCTCACTGAATTGGTTAGAGCCTCTTTAAACTGCTATCCTCCTGCCTCAGCTTCTCGAGTGGCTGGGGTTACACGCATGCACCGCCGCACCCGGCAAGAATGAAAAATTTTAACCTATAAAGGTAACCAAAAAACAAACAAACAAACAAAAAATATCCGGGAATCATAAAAAATGCTTTCCAAAAAAAATTTGGCTAACATTTTCCCCAACCCATTGCCCTATCAGAGTGGGGAACTGCAAAGGACCCCCTAAGTCTGGTTATCTTGGGTTGAGAATTCATGTGGAACATCTTCTAAGACAAATTTCAATACCTGTTATTAATTTTCCCCTTTGAGCTTAATAAATTGTCTTGGCCCTAATGGAAAAGACCTAGTTCAACAAATTAAATAGAAATTGTAGGAGTGTGAATCTAGTTAATCAGACTACAGAGGGTATTCATAACAACTACCACCACCAGAACAAAAATTAATATAGTACTAATAGCTTACGTGCGTTGTTTTTAAATGTTTTACGTAAAAACAGAAAGATTTAAAGGCTGTACTCTCAGCTTTCAGCGTATTGTGTTTTGTTTTTTTCCCCCTAAACTGTAGTTTTCATAGGTATTTCTATTGTCTTCTCGGCAGTGTTGCCTATGGCCTTCCTCGATTCTACCTCAAACAATGTCGAAAAGCACGCGCTGAGGGAGCTTGGGTATTCCCGGAAGCATACAAGGAGGCGGGAACAAGCCTGAGGCAGTACAGGTGGGCGGGATCTGCGCTGGGGCGGTGCAACTGCGCCGGGCGGTGCAAGCTGGCGGAACCCGCGTGAGCGAGGTCGGGTTGCAAAGGGAACTAGTCCCGCGCAGGACGTGGGGCTTTTGTTGTCCAGCTGGTTCCGGCTGAGGAAGATGGCGGTAGCTGGGGCGGTGTCCCGGGAGCCGCTGGTGCTCTGGTGCACCCAGCAGTTGAGGAAAACTTTCGGCCTGGATGTCAGCGAGGAGATCGTGCAGTGAGACCAGTTCGGGTCCTAGGCGGGAAGGAGCTCTGGGATGTGCACTAGCAGAGAGAAAAGGAAAGCGGGGAGGAATGAAAAGTTGATGAGAGACAAGAAATATAATAAAAGAGCTGCAATTAGTCTGTAGGGGCCGAATTTTGGTCTCCGCTTTTATAGTTTAGCTTCTGGAAAGGTTGTCAAGCTGTACGATATACGTTTTTTTCTTCTGAAAAACTGTAGTAATTAGCCCTATAAGATTGTCCAAGGATCTAGTTTCCTTATAGACTCTGAGAGAAGCAGCAAGTCAAATTTTCTTTAGAGATTCTTTATTTCGGTTTGCCCGGTCCGAGTTGTGTCAGGTCGGACCTGGAATTTAAACTGGGGTGATGTGGTACAGTGCAAGTAGTTCCTGACTCATATTCTATATTCAGCTATCATTTACCAATTTTGAAATCTTAAACAACTTAATTTCCTTCTCTGTACCTTGGTTTCTTCATCTATAAATGAATAATTAGTAGAGTTTATCTTTCGTGTTTAAAATTCTTTTGAAACAGACATAGCAAACATGATTTAACATGTGCTTCCAATCGTTTAACGAACATATGTTGCTTTATTACTACATACCAGTTGCTGGGGCAACAAAAACGATACAATTGGGTTGTGCTATCTTGATGAGTTTCTGAGATGGGTAAAGCAGAAGTTGGGAGAGTACTTTGAAGGATCTTCATTAAGATTTGAAACATTCGGAAGGGAAAGTACTAGGAGATTGATCAAGTTATGTGTATGTACGAATATGACATAATGAATCCCACTATTATGTATAATTATAGTGCACGAATAAAAAATAATAAATACTTTATTGATGAGTGGGAAAAATAAAGAAATAAAAAGTTTGCAACCTCGAAAGATTTACTGGAAAGGATCCCTTTTGCCTGAGAACTAAAGTATAGGTTTTACGTGCTCAGGTGGAGGGGAAAATGTCTGCAAAAATCGGACTTGATCAAGAACCTGAAAGTGTTTCTTAATTTGATTCCTGTTCACTGATGCTGAAACCTAAATTGTGATTCTAGGTTTGTAGGAAGTAAGGCAGTTTCACTTTGGGAGAAAACTGAAACTTGTTGGCAAGGAGAGTCAAGACAGCCCATTTTAAAGGATTTTGGTTTTTGAACACTTGAATAGAGTACCAAAACCAAAAAACCCCAGACATATCACATGGTTTGGCTTAACTCTTGTGTGAATGCAAAATCAGGTTAAACAGTTTTCAAACATTCATTTTAATTTAGTGGAATGTTATCAAATTGAATAATAAGACTTGACAATATATGTACCAAAAAAGTGGTTTTTATTAACATTATTATGTGTGAATTCAAATTTACTGGGTTCATTATAGTCACTTAGTATCTTAAAAGATTGTGTCTATTTTTGATGAATCAACAATTTGGAATGGATTACAGATGATAAATGCAGACTTCTCAGTCTCAGAATCAAATTTTTGAGTATACACTATCAAGAAAATTCTGATCTCATAGATCCTGGTTTAACAGTTTTTTTTTGGCAGACTCAAGTTTTCCTCAAACTCATCCACACCACTGAAAGTGAAGTGATAAATTTCTATTTTAAAATTGAAATACTAAGGACTGGGGTATAAGCTCAGTGGTAGAGTTCTTGCCTAGCATATGCAAGGCCCTGGATTCAATCCCCATAACCGCCCCCCCCCCCCAAAAAAAAAATGGAAACACTAAGTATGGAACACCTGCTTGCATTTTTTTATGTTTATTTTTTAGTTGTAGTTGGACACAACACCTTTATTTTATTTATTTTTATGTGGTGCTGAAGATTAAACCCAGGGTCTCGCATGTGCTAGGCGAGCGCTCCACCACTGAGCCACAACCCAAGCCCATCACCTGCTTGCATTTACAAAATTTTTTTTTTCGTAGTTGTAGATGGACAGAATGCCTTTATTTATTTGTATGTGGTGCTAAAGATCAAACCCAGTGCTTCGCACATGCTAGGCAAGTGCTCTGTCACTGAGCTACAACCTCAGCCCCCACCTTCTTGCATTTTTTAATTTTATGTGTACATGTTAGACAAGTATTCCAAACTTCCAATAATCACTGAAATTTCATATAATGTACTAATATTTGAACCACAAAGCCTCAGTCTCTAAAGAAAATATTAAAAAAGGGTTGGGGATGTGGCTCAATGGTAAAACACCCCTGGGTTTAATCCCTGGTATTAAAAAAAAAAATCTATTTATTCTGATGTGACACTAATCTTGATTTATAAATTTTTAAGAATAATTTTTTAGTTGTAGATGGACACAATATCTTTATTTATTTATTTTTTATGTGGTGCTGAAGATAGAACCCAGTGCCTAAAACGTTCGAGGCAAGCACTCTACCACTGAGCTACAGCCCCAGCCCTTGACTTACAAGTGTTGAATTGGGGCTGGGATGTGGCTCAGTGGCAGAGTGCTTGACTCACACATACCAGGCCCTGATTTTGATCCTCAGCACCACATAAAAATAAATAAATAAAATAAAGGTATAAAAAAATGTTGAATTAATAACTGGTTAGGGAAAAATAATGAGGTTATAGTATATAAGTCTATCTTCAGCAAATAATAGAAATTTAGATTTTGCAAATGTAGAGATTAAGTAGTGTGTATCATTTCCAAGGAAATGTAGAGGTGTAGCTATAGGAAGTATTCCTATGTTAAGGATAGCCCTGCAACACTTCACAGCACTGATTTGATTCTAAAAATACATCAAAATAGTAAATGGTTAAATACATATGAAGTTTAGATTATTAATTTCTTGAGATCAGGGTCTTTGTCCTAATCATATCCCTAGTATCTTGCATAGTATTAGTTCAAAGTAAAGTTTTTAATAGATTAATGAATAGTAGGGTTTGTTTTTATTTTGAGGTGCTAGGTATTGAACCCAGAGTTTTACTCATACTAGGCAAGCCCTCTACCACTGAGTTACATCTCTAACCCTAATGAATGGTTTTTACTACCTTGACCTCCGTTATAATTATTGAAAAGCATAATGTAGGTTATCCTTGTTTCATCAAATTTTATCTTTGCCTCCTGAGGTATGTTTTGTCGATTGAGAGTGCTGAAGAAATACGAGAATATGTGACGGACCTCCTCCAGGGAAATGAAGGCAAAAAAGGTCAATTCATAGAAAATCTTATAACCAAATGGCAAAAGAATGATCAGGAGTTGCTTTCTGATCCTTTGCAGCAATGTTTTAAAAAAGATGGTAAGTTAATGTAATTAGGTATAGGTTGAAATATTGTTCATAAATTAGCAGGTTTAAAAGTCTTAGTATTTTCAGCTACCTGTATTTCTTCACAGCTAATTAAAACATAATCATATGTCTCAAAATAAAAAGGGATGGGGATGTGTCTCAATTGTTAAGCACCCCTGAGTTTAATCATCCCTGGTACCAAACAGGAAAAATAAAGAAATGTTGACTGATTATAATTGTATAAATAACAGAGGTTTCTGTTTAATTCCCAAAAGGTGAACAACAAAGTAAATGACCTAAGTCATTATTACTTTATAATCATAAATATCACATTTTAAATTGTTAGTCCAGCCAGTAGTATTTGAGTTAATATCATTGACTATAATCTTGAAAATGATGGTTTAGTTTAGTTCTGGATTGAAAGGAATTCTGCCTGACTTGATGTCTTGATTCTACTAAGCATCGCTTTCTTTTTATTACCTATTCAAGTTAACTAATACATGTGGGGTGAGGCCCTAGGTTCAAATGCCAGTACTGTGATTAAAAAAAAAGAAAAAGTTGTTAACTAATGATTCTTACTATTATCAATCTTTGTGTGATTGTGTGTTTATTCTTTAAAGAAAGTTTTGATATGCATAAATCAGGAGACCAGCTAAAGCGTGGTAGGCGGAAAGGAAGAAATAAACAGGAAGTTCCTGCATTTGCTGAACATGACACAACTATAGAGGTCAAAACACCTTTTGATTTGGCCAAGGTGAGTACTTATAGAATGAAGCTTTTTCTGCCTCTATGGAGAAGAAGTGACTAATATTTTTTAGAGAGTGAAGTGTAAAAATTGATCTGCAGTGGCAATTTTCAACAAATACATGAATTTAGATGATAATGATGACATATTGCTTTCTATATGGTAGGTTTTTTTGTTTGGTGGTTCTATGGATTGAACTTAATACATACTATCCAACTGATAGAAAATAATGACATGCTGTGGGTTTCAACTTCAACATTTTGTAGGTTAATGCTGAAAGAACGCACAATGCTTGCTATTATTAAAGGTATTCCTTTCGGCTGGGGTTGTGGCTTAGTGGTAGAATGCTCGTCTAGCATGTGCGAGGCCCTGGGTTCGATCCTCAGCCCCACATAAAAATAAATAAATAAAATAAAGGTATAAGGCTGGGGATGTGGCTCAAGTGATAGCTCACTTGCCTAGCATGCGTGAGACACTGGGTTCGATTCTCAGCACCACATAAAAATAAAATAAAGATATTGTGTCCACCTAAAACTAAAAAATAAACATTAAAAAAAATTATAAAAAATAAAGTTAAAAAAACCTGAACTTTGTTTAAAAAAAAAAAAAAGGTGTTCCTTTCTTGAACCAGTCTTCTCTAATATTATTATTATCATCTAGCCTTCAAAACTTATTTCCTAGTCTCTCTTGGCTCTCACAATAACTCTTAAGGAAAACAAATGTTTATAATCAGGGAAATTTGATAAGCTAAATTTCCCCAAAGAAATAATAGTTAATTAAACTAAGATTGAAGTACTGAACTCAAAAATTTTGAGTGTGATTACCAAGAAAAAAACATAGGGCAGGCACAGTGGCACATTCCTATAATCCCAGGGATATAGGACACTAAGACACAGTGGCACATGCCTGTAATGCCAGGGGTATAGGAGGCTAAGGCAGAGGATGATTGCACATTTGAGTCCCCCTCTTGGGCAATTTAGTAAGACCTTGTCTTAAAATAAAAAATGAAAAGGATTGGAGACGTAGCTCAGTAGTAAAGTGCCCCTGAATTCAATCCCCATTACCACAAAAACAAACAAACATAGGTGGGCTTAGAGTGTACCTCATTGATACAGCATTTGCTGAGCACATGCAAATTGGTGAGTTCAATCCCCAGTGCTGGGAGAGGGGATGAGGGAGAATTTAAAAGTGTTTGAAAAATAATTAATATTAAATTAAAGAGAAGTAATTAGAAGAATGAAAGTTTTTTGTCAATAGGAATGAAATGAGCAAAGACTATCACAAACAGCCAGGTGTTGTGCCACATACCTATATTCCCAATAATTTGGGAAGCTGAGCAAGAAGCTGAGTCAGGAGGATTGCAAGTTTGAGGCCAGCCTGGGCACCTTAGCAAGACCCTGTCTTAAAATAAAAAATAAAAAGAGTTGGTGATGGGGCTTGGTGGTTGAATGGCACTGGATTCACTCCCCAGTACCACAAAAACAAAGACCTTCAGAAGCAAAAGAAAAGCATAGATGATTAGTATAGAAAGGTGTTTAACTTTACTTATAATTAAGGTGACCAATTTGTCGTCTTTTTTCCTTGTTTGTTTGGAACTTTTTAAGTTTTAGCATTGAAACTCTCATGTCCTGGGACACTCCCTCCCCCAACTCCTAAGCAAACCAGGCTGTCTGATTATTCTACTAATAAATAATTACACATTAAAGCTGAGCACAGTAGCACATGCCTGTAATCCCAGTTACTCAGAAGACTAAGCAGCAGGATTGAGAGTCCAAGGCTAGCTTAGGTAACTTAACAAGACCCTGTCTTAAAACAAAAAATAAAAAGGGTTGGGGGGAAGAAAAGGACAAAAGAAAAAAAAAAAAAAGACTAGCTGGGGATATAGCTCAGTGGTAGAGCACCCTGCGTTCAATCCCCAGTACCACCACCACCACAACAAATTACTCAGTGATAACGAAGTTGTATTAAGTTAGGAACATTCTGAACACTACTGGTAGCAATGTATATTGATTTAAGCTGTCTAGGGACACTTTGGCAGCTTACGTCCAGAACTAGGCACAGTGGAACATGCCTGTAAGGGACTCCCAGCAGGCTGAGGTACCTGGAATGTGTTCAGTGATAGAGTGAACCTGGGTTCAATCCTGTACCAAAAATAAAACACAAACTGTGGAAATGTTCAGATACTTCTAACATATTTACATAACTCAAAAATATAAGCTGGGTGTGGTGGTGGACGCCTATAATCCTAGCTATTCAGGAGGCTGAGGCAGTGATACAGGTTTGAGGCCAGTCTCATCCATTTAGTGAGATCCTCTCTCAAAATAAAAAAGGCTGGGGATGTAGCTAACTGGCACAGTGTCCCTGGGTTCAATCCCCAGAACTGTGAAAAACAAAACAACTACAACAAAAGTAATCCATTTCAGATTTTAGATTGTGGAGTGACATACTATGCCTTTTCCTGCTTGCCTCGATCTCCCCTTCTCTCTACTATTTTTGTCTCTCCCCTTCTCTTTCTAAATAAATATTTATTGTCCATTATGAATGAGAGACCTCATCAAAGCATACTCCTCAATTCCTCAAATACTTTGTTTTAATATAAATGGATACTTTAAAGGGAATCAGAATACAAATTTGTTCTTAGAGATTTTAATTCGTCTCACCACCACCATCTCTGAGATTCAAAAATATAATATTGGTTAATTTTTAAAAGTGGCAACCTGTTAGATTAGATAAAATCTTAAGCATTTCTTTGTCTTAGGTTTTCATTCTTGCCTTCACTGACTTCTATTTGGTATTGTCACTATATCTCCTCTTTTTGCTTTGGACATGAGAGCATTTTACCAGCTCTCTTTACTTACTTACTTCCTTGTAGTCAGTTTCCCATAGACTGGAACTCTTTAAGATTTTTCTTTTCTAAAACATCAGTTTCTGGAAATAATCGAGAAACTCGCAAAGAGAAAGTAAGTTCACAACATGGTTGCAAAGAAAGGCATCTATACTTTTTAAGTGTCAGAGGCTGGTGGATCTGGTTTTGTTTTGTTTTGTTTACTTTTTATTAAGTAATCTAAATACACAAGTGAAAAGATGAATTTTCATAAACTGACCATGCTATGGATATTTAAAACTAGAAACAAAACATTTCTTGTCCCTCTACAAGATGTCCCAAGTACTAAAAAAAAAAAAAAATCTCAGCCCTCCAAAGAACTTCATAATAAAAGATATCCAAGTGAAGAGCAGACACATGAAAAGGTTCTCAACTTCATTAGTCATTAAAATAATGCAAAATATAATCACACTGCACTACTACTACATACCAGTTAGAATGGCTAAATTGAAAATACAGGTTTTCCTAAGGGAAAACACCATCTTGATTTCCATCATCATAGTTTAGAATTGGCTATTTTTTGTTCGATTGATTGGTTGGTTGGTTGGTTGAGATTGGGTTTTTTTCCCCAGTAGTTCTGGGGACTGAACCCAGAGCTTCATGCATACTGGGCAACTATGCTCCTGAGCTACACCCCTAGTCCCGTTTTGTATTATTGTAATGACTAATAAAGTTGAGTACCTTTTCATGTGTCTATATGGTATTTGGATATCTTTTGTTATAAAGTTCTTATTTAAATATTTGCCCATTTTTTAATTATTATTAATTTCTGATTGAACAAATTTCTCATTTTTCTTATTGATTGTCCACAAATCCACAAATGTCATCTTCTTTTAAAGGCATTCTTGTTTCTTTTTTTTTTTAAATATTTATTTATTTTATTTTATTTTAGTTTTTGGCGGATACATCATCTTTGTTTGTGTATGTGGTGCTGAGGCTTGAACCCGGGCTGCACGCATGCCGGGCGAGCACGCTACCGCTTGAGCCACATCCCCAGCCTGCATTCTTGTTTCTTATAATCTCCAATTTAGCTATGCTTTAAGATGTCATACAGCTTTGAATGCTATATTTATGTTCCTCCAGCCATAGTAGGAGATTGAGGGCTGCTAGCAAAAAAAGACAAGGAAATTATTAGCGTATTTCTATGGAGCATAGCCTTTCCTCAGCCCCTTAATTTTGAGTAGTTTGTATTTCTCCCTCTCACTTCTTTCATGATTTCTTGGACAGTATATATATGTTGTTATGGACTAGAACTGAGGTTTTCCCTCCTTCATTCTTTTCATTCTCATTGTTCAGTGGTATTGTGATGTCTTTGTACAATTAGGCACAAGAGAACAGTAGCTCTGTAAAGAAGAAGACAAAATTTGTCAATTTATACACAAGAGAGGGACAGGACAAGCTTGCAGTCCTACTTCCTGGTCGCCACCCTTGTGACTGCCTGGGCCAGAAGCATAAGCTCATCAATAACTGTCTCATCTGTGGGCGGATCGTCTGTGAACAAGAGGGTTCCGGCCCCTGCTTATTCTGTGGATCTCTGGTAAATTTTTTTTCTATTGTTTTATTGTGTTAATACACAGAGCCATTCAGATCCCTAGCAATTTCCCTTTTTCTTGGTAAATTTCTTTCCCAAGGATTCTAGTAGCAGGGATTTGATTAGAAACCCCAGGTTGTGCCAGGCATTGTGGAGCACGCCTATAATCCCAGTGGCTCAGGAGCCTGAGGCAGGAGCATCTCAAGTTCAAAGGCAGCCTCAGCAATTTAGCAAGGCCCTAAGCAACTCAGCAAGACCGTGTCTCAGACTAAAAATATAAAAAGGCTGAGATGTGGCTGAGTAGTTAAGAGCCCTATGTTCAATCCCTGGGACCAAAAAAAAGCAAAACTAAAAACTTTAGAGCTTGAAGTGTCAGGATTTTTTGTAGTCTTCAGATGTGGCTTATATCTGTAGGGGCAAGAGTCATGGTGACATAATCTTTAAGACTTCATAGCTTCTGTTTCTGGAACAACACCTGTTATAACTTTGCTTTGTTTAAGAAATGACCTTAAGAATGTAGTAGTAGGCCTGGGGTTGTGGCTCAGCAATAGAGCACTCACCTCGCACGTACAAGGCCCTGGGTTCGATCCTCAGAACCACATAAAAATAAATAAATAAATAAATAAAGATATTGTGTCCAACTACAACTAAAAATTAATAAACACAAAAAGAATGCAGTAGTAATAGGGCTAGGGATGTGGGGATCTGGCTTAATGGTAGAACACTTGCCTAACATGTATGAGGCCCTGGATTCAATCCCCAGCACTACCAAAGATAAAAAAGGAAAAAAGAGAAATAGCAATAATGACTCTTAAAAACTCTAAAGAGCTGTCTGAAAAGCTTATTTTACCAGTTGAGCTGTCTGGCAGAAGCAATAACATTTGATGTTGATAAAGGCATCTGTTTTATATTGCTGTATTTTCTCTAATGGACTCTTGATTTTTCCACATACTCAGAGATTAAACTGATAGACAACTGAATGACCTGAAAAATGTAGTTTTCACCATGTTTATAAAATAGCAGTTAGCTGGGCATAGTGGTTCACACCTCTAATCCCAGAAACTTGGGAGGCTGAGGCAGGAGGATCAAGAGTTCAAAGCCACCCTCAGCAACTTAGCAAGGCCCTTAGTGAGACCCTGTCTCTAAATAAAATACAAAAAGGCTGGGGAAATGGTTCAGTGGTTAAGTGCCCCTGGGTTCAATCCCCAGTACCAAAAAAAAAAAAAGAGAGACAGTGAATTTTTTCTCTTAGGTCTGTTCAGTTCAAGAAATAGTAATGCAAACCAGATTGGTCTTAAAGTCTTCAAGAAATAGTAATGCAAACCAGATTGGTCTTAAAGTCTTAAATTTGATAAGTTTGACACAGTCCCTTCTCAGCTTCCTTCTAAAACTTGCAATAATTTTATATTAAATGGAGCTTTCTTTGCTTAACATATTCATTATTTTCTAAGTTTGTTATGTTTGAAAGCAAAGAAACAAAATATATATAGTTGGGCTAGAGATGTAACTGAGTGGTAGATACCTTGCCTAGCATGCATGAGGCCCTGGGTTCCATCCTCAGCACTGCAAAAAAATGTGTGTGTGCATATATATTTAGTATAAAAGTAAATCATAGTATAAAAGTAAATCTAATTTTCACTAGTGGTACTATAATCTGCTTCTTTTTCTGGTTCTTTTTTTCTAGAATTAGAAGACTTAATAAAAAGTCTTACTTGATTTTTCTAGTGTTCCAAAGACAAATATTTGTCCTTTGAAAGTACAGTAGATTTAAATAAATAGAAAATAAAACCCCACCAAGTGTTAGATATACTTGCAGTGAGGTAGTTTTTTATTTTTTGTATGTCTCATAAAAAGGAAATGAAGAGAGAAGGAAAAACTTATTTAGTTTAATGTGTTTTAATAGATTTGTCCTGATGAAAAGCATCAATAATGTCATTTTATTGTCATATCTAATGTATAATTTAAGGTTACATTTAAGGTATATCAAGTGAAGAATATAATTTAACTATTAGATCATGTGTCCTTCTCTTATTATTTTACAGGTATGTACACATGAAGAACAGGATATTTTACAGCGTGACTCAAACAAAAGCCAGAAATTGCTGAAGAAGCTCATGTCAGGTAGACAGGAATCTTCTAAATGACTGTGGTGATGGGTACAACTTGTATCTATGGTTGTTTTTCTTTCCTATATTGTGGTATGAAAGATGCAGTTTATAAAAGATGCAGTTTATTCATTCATCTATTCAACAAGCACTTATTTTTTTAAATTTTACTATTTTAGCTACATAACTTTGAGTAACAAATATATAATAGTACATTGGATCACAGCTCAAAGAATAAAATTAATATCCATGAGCTCAAACTCATATAAATAAGTAACCAAATAAGTTAAGAAATAAAGAAAAGAGAATTTCTCTTTCTCTCTTTCTCTCCCTCTCTCCCTGTCTCTCTATTAAAGAGTATGTGTGTGGTGCCAGGGACTGAATCCAGGGACTCATACATGCTAGACAAGTACTCTACCACTGAGCTACATCTCCAGCCCTAATTTTTGAAATTGTTAGTGAGGTTGAACATGTCTACATTTTTATTTATTTATTTTTTGAGACTGGGTCTTGCTATGTTGCCAAGGCTTAACCCTCAAGTGATCCTCCTGCCCAGGTTCCTAAGTAGCTGGGAGTATAGGTATGTACCATCATACCAGGCTAATTCCTCCTTGTTTCTTTTTTCTTTTCTTTTCTTTCTTTTTTTTTTGGTGGTGGTACTGGAATTGAACTCAGAGATGCTTTGCCACTGAGCTATACCCCAAACCCTTTTTTATTTTGAGACAGGCTGGTCTTGAATTTGCCATCCTCCTCCCTCAGCCTCCTGAGTCACTTGTATTTGGGTGTGCATCACCACACCTGGCTAATTCCTCCTATTTTCTAATTTAGTGAACTCTTCCCATATTTTGTTCTTTGCTGAACAGTAGTACAGCTAATTTGTACTGTAGGCTGATAGCATTTGATTTATCATCATCTGTGAATTTCAATTTCCTTAACTTTATAACAAATATAATTTCAAGCTAATTTCTAATATTATTGTGAGAATTAAATAATTTAATTTATATTAAATGCTTTTACATTAAACTTTTCATTTTTGCTCTCTTCCTGAAATTTTTCTTTTTTTCTTCCATTATTTTTGTTTTGATTTGTAAAAGTACATTTAAAAATGATAGTCAGCCCTACTCAGTAAAGGTTTTCATTTTTACAGCATTTAATTTTGTTGATTGATTGATTAATTGCTAGCTATATCTTCAGTCCTATCAGTCATTTTTATGTTGTGTGTTTAAACACTTTAGTACCTTTAGTGATCCAAAATTCTGTAAGGGAAGAAAAGGACCTCAACATTCATTGAGTACCTATTACATATCAAGCAACACTTGATACTTTAAAAGTTAGACCTGGCCTCTGTACTTGGTTGTTTTCCATTGAAATGAAGGCTCCAGACCAGCAGATCAGAACGAGATCTTCCCATATTTTGTTCTTTGCTGAACAGTAATACAGCTAATTTGTACTATATAGGCTGATATCATTTGATTTCCTTATTCAATTTCAGGGATGGAGAATTCTGGAAAGGTAGACATCTCTACCAAGGACCTTCTTCCTCATCAAGAATCTCGAATTAAGTCTGGTCTGGAGAAGGCTATCAAGCATAAAGATAAACTGTTAGAGTTTGACAGAACTAGGTATGATATGGTTAGAATAACAAATGCTAAGAAATAGACTTTTTCACGCCATTAAAAATTTTGGGGCTAGGGCTGTAGCTCAGTGGCAGAGTGCTTGCCTAGCACATGTGAAGCACTGGGTTTGATCCTCAGCAACACATAGAAATAAAAACAAAATAAAATAAAAGTATGCTGTCCATCTACAACTACAAAAATAAAAATAAAAAAAAAAACACTATTTTGGCATTTGATACCTTCTCAAAGTGGAATGTGAAAGAGTTTACAAAGAAGAGCTGGATGCTCTGTATAGGAGGCCTACATCTTGTTTTTGAATCTGTGTTTGAATAAAATAGGCTCTCACCAAGAGAATCGTATCCTGCACCAGTTTATTTTTTGTTTGTTTGTTTTTCTGGTACTAGGGATTGAACTTAGGGTGTTCTACCATTGAAGTACATCCCCAGCCCTTTTTATTTTGAGATAGGGTCTCACCGAGGTACTCTGGATGGCTTCAGATTTGTGATCCTCCTGCCTCAGCCTCCTGCATTGCTCTGATTACATGTATGTGTCACTGTGTCTGGCCCTGCATCAGTTTGTTTTGGCAAATGCTAGTATACCCCCTGGACAGTTGACTTGGGTTGTCATAATTCCCTACTTATTTCATTTGCAGCCATTTATTCATCTAGTCAACGTATGCAATCATTTATTGCTTAACGATGGATGGAGATGTGTTCTGAGAAATATGTTTTAAGTGATTTTGTCATTGTTGAAAATCATAGAGTTTATTTGCACAAACTTAGGTGATGTAGCCTATTACTTACCTAGGCTGTGTGGTATATGTATTTATGGCAGAGCCTATTGCTCGTAGGGCCATGATGATCAAAACACAAGATTGAACTAATGCAACAGAAAACCATGCAATCCAAGAGATACTATAGGGGCTAGGAGTATAGCTCAGTGGTAGAACACTTGCCATGTATGTGAGGCCATGGGTTTGATACCCAGCATTGAAAACAAAATGAAATAGAGAGATGCATGAGATATTTGAGGCCACTACTCGCATAACACAGCATTATTGTAAGTAGAAGGAATACACTCTAAAATAAGGATAAGAGTTAGGGGAGTATCTCAGTGGTAGATCACATAAGTGTGTATGAGACACTGGGTTTCATCTTGACTATCTAAAAATAAATATAAAATTTAATGATAACCTAGTAAATATATAATGAATAACCTAGCAAATACATAAACCAGTAACAATCATTTACTATCATTATCAATCACATATCACCCATAATTTTTAAAAATATTTTTAGTTGTAGATAGACACAATACCTTTGTTTATTTAGGTTTTTTTTATGTGATGCTGAGCATCAAACCTAGTGCCTCACATGTGCTACTGAGCTACATCCCCAGTCCTTTTTATTTTGTGACAGTCTTACTAAATTGTTGAAGCTGACCTTTAACTGTGATCCTCTTCTTCAGTCTCCAGAGAAGCTGGGATTACATATGAACCTGATTTCAGTTTTTTTCTTTATGCCTATGCTTATCACTGATTCGTTATTATAGAGAAATTGAGTTTTTTCTTTTTCTTTTTTTTTTTTTTGTGTGTGTCTGTGTGTGTGTGTTTGGGTCACTTAACATTAAGCTATATCCCCAGCCCTTTAAAAATTTTTTTTGGACAGGGTCTTCCCTAAGATGCTTAGGGATTTTCTGAGTTGCTGAGACTGGTTTAAAGGTGTGCATCATCTTGACCTGTAGAAATTCCGGCTTTATTGGATTTGTGACTTTGGAGTAATCACTTAATTTCTGTGAGCTCCAGGTTCATTATCTATAGAATGGGAGTTAGATCATTAAGACTACTTATAGTTCTATTTCTTTGACAGTATGATCTTAGAGATAGGCCTGATTATCATATCTTGGAACTTTGCCCCATTGTGTTAGTAAAGTCCTAGAGATGGGGTATGGAGATGGAAACTGTCATAGTAGTCAAATAATAGTATGTCCTAAGAATAGATAATTAAGCCTTAGGACAGATTTCAGGGTAAAACTCTAGTAAGCAAATGGGCCTATCAGTAATGGACTGGATCCCAATTGTAGAAAAATTAGAATATTGAGTAAGTTGCCAGAACATGAACTCTGATGCAGTAAAATCATACTGAAGCCCAGGTATCAGAAGGTGAAAGCTGGAGTATGCAGAAAGGAAGAATGATAATGAATTATGGTACTATGCCTTTTCTGTCTGAGATTGAAATGAGTTCTAAAGCTGCATTGGAGATAAGATATATGCAGCCCAGCTGGTGTCCTGCATGCCTGTAATCCCAGCTTGGGGCTGTGGCTCAGTAATAGAGCTCTGGAGGCTGAGGCAGGAGGATAGTGAGTTCAAAGTCAGCCTCAGCAACAGCGATGTGCTAAGCAACTCAGTGAGACCCTGTCTCTAAATAAAATACAAAATAGCGTTTGGGGTGTGACTCACTGGTGGAATGCCCCTGAGTTCAATCCCTGGTATCAATAAACAAACAAACAAAAAAAGATATATGCAAAAGCTGGTAATCAGGCTGAGTTTCACCTGTTTTTGTAATATTCTTGGACTTTGTATTTCAGACAGTAACCTCTAGACTAGCAAAAGAGTAAGTTACCTTGAAACAGTTCCTCATTAATAATTCTGTGTTTGTCAACATGTGGCTTAATTGTCATGTGTTTGTTTGTTTTTTAGTATTCGAAGGACCCAGGTCATTGATGATGAGTCAGATTACTTTGCCAGTGATTCTAACCAGTGGTTGTCCAAAATTGAGCGGGAAACTTTGCAGAAGCGAGAAGAGGAGCTGAGAGAACTTCGACATGCCTCTCGACTTTCTAAGAAGGTCACTATTGACTTTGCTGGCCGGAAAATCCTAGAAGAAGAAAATCCATTAGCAGAATATCACAGTAGGTAAGTGGCCAGCACCAGAAAGGGTCTCAACAAAGGAGTAGGTTGACTATATAGGATTTTTACTTCTTTAGTGGTGTTGTTTTTGTTGATTTTTAAAAATGATGATCATCAAGTTGGGCACAGTCGCACATGCCAGTAATCCCAGCTGTTTGGGAGACTGAGTTAGGAGGATCATGTAAAGCCAGCCTCAGCAACTTACCAGGGCCCTAAGAAACCCAAAAAGACCCTGTCTTTAAATAAAATATAAAAAAGGACTGGGGATGTGGCTCAATCCCTGCTATTAAAAAAAAAAAAAAGGATGATGATCCACAGCACTGTGGGAAAAAAATAAGTAAATGAAAATTTAAAAATAAAAACAAATTTTTAGAGCTAGAGATGTAGCTCAGTAGTAGAGCACTTACCTAGTATGCACAAGACCCTAGGTTTGATCCCCAGCACAATAAAAATAAAGTTAATGTTTATTGGGGCTTAAAAACATGTAAAAGTAGCTAAGAAAATTTTTCAATGAAGGAGACCTGTCCTTACTTATAATAAAATACTATTACTTTTTTAAAAACTTTTGATGAGTTTGTTTGTTTTGGTACTGGGGATTAAACCCAAGGGTGCTTTACCACTGAACTATATCCACAGCCCTTTTCATTTTTTATTTTTATTTTTTAATTTTTAATTTTTTTATTTGTAGATGGACACAATACCTTTTATTTATTTATTTATTTTTATGTGATGCTAAGGATCAAACCTAGTGCCTCACACATGGTAGGCAAGAGCTCTATCACTGAGCCACAACCCCAGCCTCTTATTTTTTTATTTTGAGAAAGGGCCTCACTAAGTTACCAAGGCTGGCCTTGAATTTTTTTTTTTTTTTTTTTAGTACCAGGGATTGAACTCAAGAGCACTTAACCACTGCACTACATGTCCAGCCCTTTTTTGTATTTTATTTAGAGATAGGGTGAGTTGCTTAGTATCTCGCTTTTGCTGAGGCTGGCTTTGAACTCACAATGTTCCTGCTTTAGCCTCCCAAGCTTCTGGGATTACAAGTGTGTGCCATCGAACCTGGCTAACCTTGAATTTTTGATACTCCTACATCATCCTTCCAAGTCACTGGGAATATAGTTGTGTGCCATTGTGCCTGGCACAGTTTTAATGAAAATATAGTACTAAACTGGGAGAAAATATATTGAAAATTTTTAGCAAAGAAGCAATATCTGTACTTTACAAAGACCGCCTACAAATTAAAAGACCAAAAAAAAAAAAAAAATCCCATAAAAAAATGGGTATGGTGGTTCAAGCCCATAATCCTAGCTACTAGGACAGCTAAGGCAGAAAGATCACTATTTTGAGTCTAACCTTAGCAACTTAGGGAGACCTTGTTTCAAAATAAAATTTAATAAGTAGGGTTGGGGGTATAGCTCAGAGGTAGAGTACTTTTGTAACATGCTTATGGTTCTGAGTTTAATCCCCAGAACCTCAAAAATAAAAATTAAAAAAAAAGAAGAAGAAAAATGGGCAAAAGCTAAGAATAGATAAATCACAGATGAGGTAATATGAATAGCCAGGAAGCATTAACTATTTATCAGAAAATTAAGATTTTAAAACATATTACTTTGCATAGTGGCACATACTTGTAATCTCAGTGATTCAGGAGATTGAGGCAGGAGTAGCAAAAGTTTGAGACCAGCCCTAACAACTTAATGAGGCCCTGTCTCAAAATGAAAATTTTTTTTAATATTTATTTTTTAGTTTTAAGTGAACACAATATCTTTATTTTACATTTATGTGGTGTTGAGGATCGAACTCAGTGCCTCAAGCATGCTAGGGAAGCACTCTACCACTGAGCCACAACCCCAGGCCCTCAAAATGAACATTTTTAAAAAGGCTGGGTGTGTAGCTCAGTGGTAGAGCACCTTGGGTTAAACCCCAGCACCATGATGCCATTGTTTTTGTTTTTGTTTTAGTATCAGGGATTAAACCCAGGGGCACTTAATCACTGAGCCACATCCTTAGCCTGTTTTTCATTTTTTGTTTTTAATTTTGAGACAGGATCTCATTAAGTTGTTTAGGGGCTTGGCGAGTTGCTGAAGCTGGCCTCGAACTTGCAATCCTCCTGACTCAACCTCCCGAGCCACTGGGATTACAGCATGTGCCACTGCACCCGGCCCTTTATAGCTATCTTAAACTTGCCATTGAAATTCAAAGTTTCTTGAAGGCTGGAACCATGTCCTCCCCATCTTTTAGGTTGAATTGCATATAAGAGGTTCCTTAACAAATATATATTGAGCTGAATTCAAGGTCGTGTTCAACCTTTTCTATTAGTTGAAGCTTGTTATTATTTTATTATGTTTCAAAATTATAATCATCATTCACAAATGTTTGTCAGACATCAAACAGGAGTATGGATATAGCCACAAGGAATATAGAGTAATAGAATGGAATAAGATAGGGCTTCTAAGCCAGTAGGATTTCACAATGTTCAAATGAAAATCTTCATGTCCCTCTGCTCCCTGGCCCCAGGGCTAAGAACCAAACTGAGGGCCTTGAGGGGGCTAGGCAAGAGCTCTGCCACTGAGCTAAATTCCCAATGCCATCACGTTCATTTATAGGTTTAGATTCAAATACCCAAAACTAACACCTTAAGCACAGAATACATGGGATGTATCCAATGGTTATTTAGGGACCCTTTTTTAGAACTTCTAAACCTCGAAGCAGATAGAATTCAAATAGCATAGGTAAGTAAAAAAGAGACTCCTGAGTAGACAAAGTAATAACTGTAGGGTGTATTGAATAGACAAGCTGCCATAGAATATTCATCTCTGAGTCAGACTACTTTTAAACAACTTTTATATTCTTTGTATTTTTGTTGATCTTGTTAAACTGGTAACTATAGTGTGCTCTACCTATTTTCCTTAAGTTCTGTGGAAGGAAGGTAGAGTGGGGAGAGGGAAAGTTGTTCATGGGCTTCTCCTTTGAATTCCAAATTTTAATATTACCAAAGGGTTGGTTTTTAAGTAAAGACATTCTGAGCATAGAATATTACCGATTATTGCTTCCTTTTGGTTTATTATTACAGATTAGATGAGACAATACAGGCCATTGCCAATGGAACCTTGAACCAGCCACTGGACAAAATGGATAGATCTTCTGAAGAGCCTTTGGGAGTTCTGGTAAATCCCAACCTGTACCAGTCCCCTCCCAAGGTTAGTGGACCTTTCTTTCCTCTAGCTGATAACGAGAGAATTTTGGTCCTAAATATTTCTCCTTTCAAGTATGTCTGTTTATAGTTTATAGATACCAATTTGCTCTCTTAACTCACCTACCAATCTTACATTCTTACCCAATTTTTTTCCAGTTTTTTTCGCAGCACTTCCAAAAAGTTGACTTGTACTATCTTCAATGAGCATTTTCCAAAAGAAGATGTTATTAAATACAATAGAAATTTAGACAGTTGAGTCAAGGGCATTTGCACATACTTGTAATCCCAGAAACTCAGGATGCTGAGGCAGGAGAATCCTAAATTTGAGGCTAGCCTCAGCAACTTACTGAGACCCTATCTCAAAATAAAAATAAAGCTGGGCATGGTGGCATACGTGTACAGATAAATGAAAAGTTGTGCTGCAATTGTGTACAATGAATCAAATGCAATCTGCTGTCATATATACATAAATAAAATAAATAAAGAATGAATGAATGAATGAATTATTTATTTATTTATTTTAAATTTCTTTTTTGTTGTTGTTATAGTTGGGCACAATACCTTTATTTTATTTGTTTATTTTTATGTGGTGCTGAGGATCGAACCCAGTGCCTCGCACATGCCAGGCAAGCGCTCTATTGCTGAGCCACAACCCCAGCCCAAGATTTATTTTGACTCAAGTTTCAGAGGTTTTAGTCAATAGTCACTTGACCTCATTGCTTTGGGCCTGTGGCAAGGCAGAGCATATGGCAGAGTGCATATGCTAGAGCAGAATAACTTGCCTCATAACATCTGGAAAGCAAAGAGAAAGGAAGAGGTTTGGGTTCCAATGACCTCTTTAATGGTACACCCTAATGACCTAACTTCCTAACTTTCTTCTACTAGTCCTCACACTAAAAATTCTGCCACCTCTCTATATCTCTATCAACTGGGACCAAGCTTTTAATACATGTGCTTCTGGGGGATGTTCAAAATCAAAATCAAAATCCATATAAAATGATGAATATGTGCAAGCTAGGTAGGGTTTATAAGATGTATTATTATAATGAGAAATAGAGTAGGATTAGGTAGGTAGGATCAGATCATTAAAGAACTTTTTTTCTTTCTTTTACTTTTGGGGAGGGAGTACTGGGGATTGAATCCAGGGGTGCTCTATCACTGAGCTATACCCCCAGTTTTTTTTATTTTTTTATTTTGAGATAGGGTCTCACTGAGTTACTTAGGGCTTTACTAAATTGCTCAGGCTAACCTCAAATTTGTGATCCTCTTGCCTCAACCTTCCAAGTTACTGGGATAATAAGCATGTGCCACTGCACCTGGCTAAAGAACTTTTTAGCTAGGAAGTTTTAGCATTTTTATTTTATAAGTAAATGTGATACAGAAAGTTCTTATGTAGAGAGAGAATACCCTCAGGGTAATGCTTTACCTACTTACCTTCAGCACTATATATGTGTCAAATTCTGTGCTAGGTAGTGGGAAATTAAAAGATTAATTAAAGGTCCAGCTCATGTCCTTAAGAACTTCAAAGATCAGTGGGAAGATGTGTATGAATGCAAAGATTACAGTTCTTTTAAGATAATTGCTATGAAACATACATGTCATAGATGCAACAGTATTTATGAGTATGTTCATAAATCTGTGAGAGAGCATAAAAGAAAGAGTGTTTGACAACTAAAGAATGACTAGAAGAGTTTGGGTTTGTAGCTCAGCGGTAGAGTGCTTGTTTAGCTACAGGTGAGGTACTGGGTTCAATTTTCAGCACCTCAGAAAAATAAATAAATAAAGGTAATATGTCCATCTACAAATAAAAGAAAATTAAAAAAAAAAAATAGCTAAGAATTTCTAGGTAGGCAAATCTGGGGAGAGAATTCCAGGCAGAAGGTACAACATGTGTAATGACTCAGCATCTTGAATGGATAAAGAAAATGTGGTACATATACACAATGGAATATTACTCAGCCTTAAAGAAGAATGAAATTATGGCATTTGCAGGTAAATGCTAAGTGAAATAAGCCAATCCCAAAAAACCAAAAGCTCAATGTTTAAAATCTCTGATAAGTGGATGCTGATCCATAGTGGGGTGGGGGGATAGGGAAGAATGAAGGAAATTTGTTCTGTGTAGAGGGGAGTAAGGGGAGGGGTGGTGTTGTGGGGATGGGAAGGATGGTAGAAAGAGACAGACATTATTACCCTGTCTACATGTATCATTACCCTGCTGGACTAACTCTAAACCATGTACAGCCAGAAAAATGAGAAGTTGTGTTCTATTTGTGTACAATATGTCAAAATGCATTCTACTATAAAATAAATAAATTCATTAATTAATTAAAAAAATAAAGGGATAGTGAATGAAGACTGCCTCTCCCTTTTAAGGCCAAGAAAAAAAAAAAAGACTCAGCATCTTGAAAGCATTGCGGGTTTGGGGAAATCAAAGTATTTTTATGGACTAGTAGATGTGTTAGTTTCCTAGTGCTACAAAACAGATAGGGTGACTTAAGACAGTAAGATTTCTTTCCTCATAGCTGGAGGCTAAAATTTCAAAATCAAGATGTTAGCAGAGCCACATTCCCTCCAAAGATTGTACACATGAATATTTTCTTGCCTCTTTCAGTTTCTGGTTGCCCTAGGCTTGTAGCTAAATCATTCCGATCTCTACCTCTGTCTTCACTTGGCCTTCTTCCATGTGTATCTCTGTGTGTCCTCTCCTTTTCAAAGAATACCAGTTATTGGATTTAGGTCACCATAATTCAGTGTGAACTCATCTTAAATTGATTACATCTACAAATTTGTAAGGTCATATAATCAAAGTCTAGGTAGACATGAACTCGAGGGGATACTCTTTGTTTTTAATTGATTTTATTTTTTAAATACATGACAGTGAAATGTATTACAATTCTTATTGCACATATGGAGCACAATTTTTCATATCTCTGGTTGTATATAAAGTATGTTCACACCAACTTATGTCTTCATACATGTACTTTAGATAATGATGTCGACAACATTCCACCATCATTGCTAACTCCCTGCCCCCTCTCTTCTCCGCCCACCCCTTTGCCCTATCTAGAATATGTCTATTCCTCTCGTGCCCCTCAAGGGGATACTCTTTAACCCAGTGCAGTAGACAATACCTGCTCTTGAAAGCCCTATGTTTCGCAATAAGCACTGAGTTTTATTCGAAAGTAAGCAAAGAAGGATCCTTGAATATCCTTGAAGACTGGTATGACTTCCATGCTTATACAGACAGTGCATTGGAGGGAAGGTTAAGACTAGAAACAGAAAAATTGTTCCGGAGGTTATTGTAATGGGGAGATAATAAGGGCCCAAGTTATTATCGTAGTACCAGTAGGATAGAAGAGAGTTATTTAACAACTAACAATATAGACAAGTAGATTAGTTAACAGGTTATATAATAGTATTATTGAAAGATAATGAGGGAGAATGGCTGTTTGGTTACAGTCAAGAACTGTAGGTAGAGACAGAACTAAGAATTTGGGCCTCAGGATTATTCATTCAACATTTTTACAAGATAACTTATTTTTTTCATAATAGATCAGTGTTTCCACACAAGAACTTCTATTCTTACCTAATATTTACCCAATTTTGCCTTATGATTCAAAAGACAGTTGTCTTATTTATATATATAATAAAAATATACATATATATACATACACATAGATATAGATATATAGATTTTTTTTTATAATAAGAATTGAACCCAGGGGCACTTAACCACTGAGCCACATCCCCAGCCCTTTTGAGATAGGGTCTCAAAAGTTGCTAAGTTGCTTAGGGCCTTGCTTAATTTCTCAGGCTGGCTTTGAATTTCCTATCCTCCAGCCTCAGCCTCCTGAGCCACTGGGATTACAGGTGTGCCACCACAATTGGCAAAACCATATTTTTTTCATGTTTTATGTTTCCCTAATCTGTGCTTTTCACATAGTTAATTACTCAATAAATGTGGTTTTAAAATATTATTATTATTTTTAAAAATAATAATAATAATGCTTTTCTATCATGCACAGTTCCTTTTGCATGCTAGAAAAGCATTCTACCACTGAGCTACATCTTCAATACTTTAAAAATTTTTTTTGAGATGGGGTCTTGCTAAATTGTCCAGATTGGCCATAAACTTCCAATCTTCCTGTTACAGCCTCTTGTGGAATTAGAGGAGTGTGCCACTGTGCCCAGTTTAACTATGGTATTTTAAAAGATATGACAGAGCTGGGGTTGTAGCTCAGTGGTAGAGCGCTTGTCTAGCATGGGTGAGGCAATGTGTTCAATCCTCAGCACCAAATAATAATAATAATAATAATAATAATAATAATAATAATAATAATAATAATAATAAAAAGTAAAGTTTAAATTGTTTAATAGAAAAAGACAAAACTGTTAAATCATAAAATTTTGTTATGAAAAGATTAAGATCTTAGAGATTCATCTAAAAATTTGTCAGCAAAAGATTCTTATAGATCCATCTTTGGCAGTTGAGAAAGCTGAAAGTTTAAGGGAGTTAAATGATTGCCTAAGTGTCCAGGCAAGAACTCTAGCAGTCTTTTTAAAAATAAGTTATTACACTTTTAAAAATTTTAAAAAAATGAAGACTCACCATCCTAATAGCCATTTTTCTTTTTCTTTTAAATTTTGGAGCACTTGATCTTCTTGCTCTGGAAGAAACATTAACCTTCATGATTGTCTGACTGAACTCTTGCCAGAACTCTTTAGTCTCCTGTAATTACCTGTACCCTATAATTCTCTATTGCCTTTATGTGATGGGAACCTTGTTTCAGTAGTGTTCCTTCTTCTCTTTTAGTGTACAAGTTGTTTTTTTCAGGATAATAGAGTACTTCTTATACCCAGTAGTCAGAACTACTGCCCATGACAGCATCTGTTTGACTTTGTTATAATACTGACATGTGAGTCTGCCATAAGCACAAAAAGCATTATGAACCAAAGTGTTGTATGTCTTTTGGCTGATTCACTTATCTTAGGAAACCTCCAGAATCCAAGATAGAGCCTTAATAAGTATAAAATGGAAATACTTACAGTTCTTTTGGTCTGGTAGTTGTGCTGCTTCTGGAATTAAGCATTATATGGAGACTTCAACATTCTACCTATCTTTTAAGATGGCACTTTGTTATCATACCTGGAACTCTTACTGAATTTATACCCTTTTTGGCTTTGTTTGTTTGTTTTTTGATGGACAACATGACTTTATTTTATTTGCTTATTTTTGTATGTGGTACTGAGGATTGAACCCAGTGCCTCACATATGCCAGGCAAGCACTTTGCTGCTGAGCCACAGCCCCAGCCTTTTTTTGGCCTTGTTTCAGACAAAGATGGGATAAAATTTTCTAAGAAAATGTATCTACTATGATTTCCTCATTATTGCATTTGTTCACCATCCCCGGATTCTTCCCTGTCAGACTGAACTGTTTGTTTTTTCCTATACAGTGGGTAGACCACACAGGTGCAGTCTCACAGAAGAAGGCTTTCCATTCAGCAGGATTGGGACTTGAGTTCAATTTATATCAGCACCAGTTGCGAATCCAGGATCAAGAATTCCAGGAAGGCTTTGATGGTGGCTGGTGCCTATCTATTCACCAACCCTGGGCTTCTCTGCTTGTCAGAGGGATTAAAAGGTAAGAATAGAATCAGTGGAGGAAAGAGACCAGCAGGTGAGGAAGTGCTGGGGAGTGATATTGGCCAAATTATATTGTTAAATTATATGCATGTATGAATATGTAAGAACAAATTCCATCATTATGTGCACCTATAATGCACCAATAAAAAATTTGGAAAGTGGGCTGGGATTGTGGCTCAGTGGAGAGTGCTTGCCTTGCATGCATGAGGCACTTGGTTCAATCCTCAGCACCACATTAAAAATAAATAAATAATGAAGATATTTTTAAAAATTTGGAAAGTGAAAAAATTTTCTAGATAACAAAATAAATAAAAAGTAAGAATAGAAATGAATCTTGGCAATGAGAGATCTTTGACAAAAATTTGATTTAGAATTATTTTTCTCCAGCTTACTTATTATTTCCAGTACATAGCACTTGAAACAATATTAACTAGGTAGTAGATTTTTTTTGAAACTGGGTCTTACTATGGGGCTTACTCTGATCTTGAGCTCCTGAACAAGTGATCCTCCTATCTCAGCTGGGAGTACAGGCTGATTATTCCATTATGCCTGGCAAATTTTTAGATTAATTAAAATTGTTTTGCTTGGCATACTGGCACATATCTGTAATCCCAGCTCTTCAGGAGGCTTAGGCAAGAGGATTCCAAGCTTGAAGGAAGCCTAAGTAAGACTTTGCCTCAAAATAAAATAAAAAGGCAACTAGTGATGTAGCTCAGTTGGTAGAGCCCTTGCCTAGTGTATGTGAGGCCTGGGTGCAATTTCTAGCACTATTAAAAAGAAAACCTAACTATAAAATAAAAAGGATTGTAATATAACTCAGTGGTATAGCACTTGTCTACTGTGTATAAAGCCCTGGTTTAATCCTCAGTACTTAGAATAAATGGAATACCAGGTTTTTTTCATCCTTGGAAGAGAGTCTATTGAAAAAACTCTTTTGAGGAACTATTTTACTACAAATTCCTTTTCTACAAAAAGTAGAGGAAGTAGTGAGGAATAACTAGAGGTATTATAAAGCTGAGTCATCTATTGGTGATAACTGTTTACTATTCCATGCTTTTTTTTTTTTTTTTTTTTTTTGGTACCAGGGATTGAACCCAGGGTTGCTTAACCACTCAGCCACATCTTCAGCCCTCCCTTTTTTTGTTGTTGTTTTGTTTTGTATTTTATTTAGAGACAGGGGGGCTGGGGATGTGGCTCAAGCGGTAGCTCGCTCGCCTGGCGTGCATGCGGCCCGGGTTCGATCCTCAGCACCACATACAAACAAAGATGTTGTGTCCGCCAAAAACTAAAAAATAAATATTAAAAAAAAAATGTCACCATGACTAGAGACAGGGTCTCACTGAGTTGCTTAGGGCCTTGCTAAGTTGCTGAGGCTGGCTTTGAACTTGCACTCCTTCTGTCTCAGCCACTGGGATTACAGAGATGCACCACTGTGCCTGCCTGTGTGTTTCTTCTTAATTCAACTTTGAAAATATTTTTCCTTTGCTTTTATACATGAAATTGAAAATTGTAAAATGCAGAAAACTATCTAGAAACAGAAAGATCACCTATAACCCCACCATCAGAAATAGCTATTGTTAGCATTTTGAAGTCTTTATTTCTGTGTTTTTTTTTCTTGTTCAGATTGTTATATAATGAGATCATGACATTTATTTTGTTTGAGTTTTTCTTTCAGTTTTCATTATAGCGAGCTCATTTTTCCTTCTTATTTTTCAGAGTTTTGTGTACATGGCAATGTCTATCTCAAACAGTAAAAATACCTTGTATTTAAATAGGATTTAAATTTTCTAATCATTAGCTCTATGAAATAGTTTAAAACGAGGACACTGAGGCAGGCAAAGATACAGTTACTCTAAATGCTAAAACTAGTTAATGTCAGAGATAGAACCAGAGTTCAGGACTTCAGAGTGTCTTTACTCTCTAATCTGCAGACTTTAGTCATTTCCCTACTTTCTACAAAGAAAAATTATTAGCATTTAGGAACAGTCATTTCTACTTCAGTGGTTTCACTGTTAGCTGCCATTTCCCTCGTTTGTTAAGGTATAAAACACTTTTTCTCCTCTACTTGAAGGTCAGGCTTTCTTGCTTTGGCTCCTAATTATTTCCTAATCTGTGTGTGTGGTACTATTAGAACAAATGCATGTGAATCTGCTTTTGCTCCGGGACAGCCAAAGTCTCAGATGTCTGTTTTTCTCATTCATTTCTCTGCAATTTAGGTGTTTTTTTGCATAGTAGAAAGCTAAACAGCTTAATGAGAATGTTTACGTTTCCCTCATCTATTCTGGATCTTTGTTATAGAAATTTTCTCATTGGAAAGAACAAGATGAGCATCATCCATTCCCACAATCACTAATCCTACATAAATAAACTGGGTGGTTCTGCCAAATTTGTGAGACCATTTTCCCAGTAACTTTTCAGGTTATTTGGTATAGAAGGAAGACATACTGGTTCATTCTACATAATGAATACCTACTATGTGACCGACACTCCTCTAATTCATCTGTTTTAGCATACTACAAATATGAAAAAACAATCACAGTGCTACTTTCCATTATAAGAATGAGATAAGAGGGATATAATATTAAGGTACTTTGTTTCATTTGATGGGAGGTGAAGAGAAACATCTTTTGTAGTCCTTGGAAAGTAGCAAACTAATTAAATTCTCTTGAGAATTTTATTTCACTTGATTCTTTCAAACTACTCAACAAGTTGTTTACTTATCCACACAGAACATATCTCTATATAAAATAATTAGGAAATGTATATTGGTGTCATTGCAACTTAGAAAATAAAGATAAGCATTTTTATTTATAATTATTTTATTTTTAATTTATTCATAATCATTATTCTATTAAATACCATTCTTGGGAAGTTATGTGTCAGCATTTTCTGTCAGGTTGGAGAATAAAGCAACAAGTCTTCCAGAAAAAAGTTAGCTTTTGACTCAAAGAATGGCAATGATGTTCATATTTGTGGGACAACTTAGATGCTTAAAAACTACAGATTCGGGATTATAGAAGTTCCAAGAGTAGTGAGAACTCCAGGACTGAGTTATGGGAATAAGGTGACAACTATCCAGGAGTTGAGAGAAAAAAACTTTATTCTGATGATAGGTGAAATTAGAGAACAGACTTCATCCTCAAGGGAAAGGTATTATGGGAGAATTTTGTGTTTTTCACAAAAGAATCCCTCTTGGTGAGACATCTTCTTTAGATCTCTTGGTTCAACTGAATAATTTGCTTCAGTATTTTTTTTCTTTCTCTTTGGTATATTGTGGCATCTTCTGGGAAACTAGAATTTAGATCCTTCCTACTAAATTTGTATTTGTTCAAGGGTGGAGGGCAGATCCTGGTATACTCCCCACAGAGGACGTCTTTGGATAGCAGCCACAGGCAAAAAACCCTCCCCTCAAGAAGTCTCAGAACTCCAGGCTACATATCGACTTCTCCGTGGGAAAGGTAACAGCTACGAATTCTTTCGGTCTTACATTTAGAGAGGAGTCATTGATATTCCTCTTCTTTCAGTTTCTTCTTCCTGTGGCTTTTCCTCAGCTGAAAGGGACTTTTAAACCTTATATTTGTTTATTTACTGATAAATCATAGACAGTTATTCAAAGCATTAATACCTCAAAAAGAGAAAATAAAAATATCAGTTTCTAAAAAAGCAACCAACTAATCTTAATTTTATCTAAAAAAAAAAAATCTTCTTTCCCTTTTCTTTTTTTTTTTTTTTTTTTTTTTTGCTATGAAAGTAATATAAATGATTCATAAGCTCTGGGATCTTAAATTGGGAAAAAAACAACCACAAATAATATAATCAAGAGTGACCCAAATAGAGACCTGCTATTGGATTCAGATAGATCAAAGGTGAGTGACCTGAACAGAGAATTTTCAGAATCACCCCAAGCACAGTAAATTTGGATCCTAAGAAGAACTTCTGACCTTAGATATCCTATGTCCCTTCCTCTTATCCAGCTCAGAGTTGTTTTGGAGATAGAATGAAAGGAGAATTACAGAACCACCTTTAAAAGTTTTTAATACATAAAGCTTAAGCAAGGAGTCTAGACTCCAAACTTAAGCAAGAAGTCTCTTAAAAACAGATTTATGGCTGGGAGCAGTGATGCACGCCTGTAATTACGGTGACTTGGGAAGCTGAGACAAGAGCAATTGCAAGTTCAAGTTCAGCCTCAGCAACTTGGCTGTAAGAACCTATATGAAAAAATAAAAAGGGTTGGGGATGTACTCAGTGGCATATTACCTCTGAGTTCAGTCCCTAGTACTAGAAAAAAACAAAACCCATATTTCTGGAATTAGGAATGTAGTTCAATGGTACAGTACTTGCCTAGCATGCTCCGGGACCTGGGTTTAATCCTCCCAAAAGAAAGAAATGAAAGGGTAAAAAAAATTCTATTTCGCCTGGTACAGTTTGTTTTAGATTTGTGTCCTGACCTTCATGCTTGTGTTTTTTAATCACATTTTTATAGTTTTTCTATTGTCACCTGTAGCTGCCTGTCTTCATTGCTAAAGTCCATTATCATCAAGCTCCAGTCTGATCCAGTTGAGTATGGTAGAACTGATTTGTTTGGAATAAACTTGTAGGGTCCTTGAACTTTTTTTTTAATATATATTTTTTATTTGTTCTAATTAATTATGCATGACAGTATGCATTTTTGACATATCATATATAAATGGAGTATAACTTCTCATTTGTCTGGTTGTACATGATGTAGAGTTACACAGGTCATGTAATCATATATGCACATAGGGTAAAAATGTCTGATTTATCTACTATCATTCCTACCCCATGCCCCTTCCTCCTCCCTTCACTCTCCTCTGTCTAGTCCAAATTACCTCTATTCTTCCTCCCTCCCTCACATCCTTATTATGAATTAGTAGTCCTTGAACTTTGATGAGATGAGGGAATAGTTTTCTAAAGGAAAAATTTCCTAGTTTAGCTAGCCACTCACTAGGTATTTTGCTAAAATACAGTTATGCCAGAATCAAAACTCATTGTTTTCCTTATGGCTATAAATAGATAATAGAAAGTGTTACTTGTTCATAATTCAAAACAGATTCCTGAATTCCAGAGTAACAAAGAAGGAAATTTATTTAATCCTTTTGTTTTTCTTGATTCAGATGTGGAATTTCCCAATGACTATCCATCAGGTTGTCTTCTGGGCTGTGTGGATCTAGTTGATTGCTTGTCCCAGAAGCAATTTAAAGAGCAGGTAGGTGAAGAATACTTCTCCTGGGCAGATGATTGATTTGCCATCATGACTAACTTATAGATCCTATTAGCATATCCTGAAGATAATAAGGTGCTAGCAAATATATTTAGACATATGAAGAAAAAGGGTATCTTTTTTTGTTTTCTTTGTTGTTGGTTTGTGTTTTGGTACTGATTGAAACTAGGGCTTCACACATGCTAGGCAAGAGTTCTACCACTGAGCTACATCCCCAGCCCTTTTTATTTTTATTTTTAAAATATCATTATTTACTTATTTTTATGTGGTGCTGAGGATCGAACCCAGTGCCTCTCATATGTGAGGCAAGCGCTCTACCACTGGCCACAGCCCCAGCCCTATTTTTATTTTTTTAAGATGTGATTTGCCCAGGTTGGCCTTGAACTTCAGTCCTCTTGCCTCAGCCCCATTAGTAGTAGGGATTATAGGTGTGCACCACCATACCCATCAAAATAGTCTTTTTATTAGTTGCTGACGGACCTTTATTTTATTTATTTCTATGTGGTGCTAAGAATCGAACCCAGTGCCTCACACATGCTAGGCAAGCCCTCTACCACTGAGTTATAACCTCATCCCCAAAGGAGTCTTTTAATAAGATATATTGGGGCAGGAAAAGACCCTATCAATGACAGAAAAAAACCTAGTGATGCTTTGGTATTTGGTGTATGGAGAACTGGTATATATACATTTCTGATTAGGAAACTATTGCCATAGTCCAGCATAAAAGTATAGGGTCTTCATCCCTTACTAAAGCTTTGCTTCTTTTGGTGAGGAAGTCTTCAAAAGTATCCCCTGAATCATTTTGATTGGGTGGTGGGTATGATAGATCTGTTATTGCTTTTCAAAGCATTTGAACTCATGATAGTAGGCAAGTGTGTTTGAATACCAATTGCTTGGATTGTGTCAGGTGTGTTTGTGTGTGTGTGTAGATGTACACATACATGTCTATTTTGTTTTTGATCATTGACAATTGAACTGACATAACAAAGTACTTTTTTTTTTTTTAAATACCTTTATTTATTCATTTGTATGTGGTGCTGAGGATCGAACCCAGGGCCTCACATGTGCTAGGCAAGCACTCTACCGCTGAGCTATAGCCCCAGCCCCACAAAGTACATTTTTGAACAGTAGAGGGAGACAAAGAACTTTAGCTTAATTGAAAAATTCTTGACATACAGGATTTTTATATTTAGTTTCATACTGGCAAAAACGAAGCCTGAGGAGTCTCACTAATAGTATAGTTTTCCTATTGTTTTGAACAGATACTATAGGTAATAGGACATCTACCACTATGTTTAATAAAATGTGCTTCAGGTTAATTTTTCTCAGTAAATTCTTTGTTTTTCAGACTTACTTTTTTTGGGGGGGGTGGGGGGGTCGGTGCTGGGAATTGAATCCAGGGCCTCATGCATTCTAGGCAAGCGCTTTACCATTGAGCTACTCCCCTCCCTGCCTGCCTTGCCTTTTTTTTTTTTTGTCTCAGGGATTGAATCCAGGGGCACTTAACCACTGAGCCACATCCTTAGCCCTTCTTTTTTGTGTTTTATTTAAGAAAGGGCCTCCCTGATTGCTTAGGGCCTCACTAAATTGCTGAGTCTGGCTTTTTTTTTTTTTTTTAAGTTATAGATGGACACTATACCTTTATTTGATTTATTTCTTTTTATGTGGTGCTGAGAATCGAACCCAGTGCCTCACACGTGTGCAAGGTGAATGCTTTACTACTGAGCCACGATCCCAGCCCCTAAGTCTGGCTTTGAACTGGAAATCCTCCTACCTTAGTGGCCCCTCCCCCAGCCACTGGGATTACAGGCATGAACCACCACACCTGACTCTGTGTTGCATTTTTGCTATTAATGCTTCCTTTTTTTCCCTTTACTATTCATAGCTATCTCAACTTCTTTATCTTTTCCTCACAGATTTTAGTCAATAGTTATTATCCCCCTACATTTCTGTCTTTTATTTTCTTATGGGTTGCCTCCTCAGTCTGTTCTGATTACTGTTTGTGTCTGAGTACAACGCATGTATTTTTTTTTAGAGAGAGAGAGAATTTAATATTTATTTTTTAGTTTTCGGCGGACACAACAACTTTGTTTGTATGTGGTACTGAGGATTGAACCCAGGCCGCACACATGCCAGGCGAGCACGCTACTGCTTGAGCCACATCCCCAGCCCACAATGCATGTATTTTGATGTGAATTTTGACTCCTACTCTTTTGTTCTGCCATTAGTATCTGATCTAAACCTCAACAGAACCATAGACATGTGGAGGCCCTTCACCACCTTGCACTCTTGTGCCTGTACTATCTATGGGTCTTTTGACTGTATTTTTTTTTTTTTTCAAGTGTCATCATTCTTCCTCCCTTCCCTGTTCTTCTTTTTTTTTGCCTGTGGTGTTAGAGATCCAACCCAGGGCCTCATGCATGCTAGGAAAGCACCCTACCACAAAGCTTCATCCCTAGCCTTCTTCTCCCCCCACCCCACACTGTAGAATTAATAATTATAAAAATACCTTATATTGGTATGGGTTTTACAGTTTTAAAGACTCACAGTTCTTAACAACTTAATAAAACTTAGTGCATCATATTCTCTTCATGTTATATCTGCATTCTAAAAGAGAACCCAGCTGCATCTGCCCATGTGGATGGTAATTGGAAAGGGGCCTTGTTTTACTTTCTCCTTTATTGATCAAGAAAACTACCTCCTGACAAAGGTCAAATTATTTCAAACTCTAGACAGTTAAATGATCGTTCTGCCACAAATTTATTCAGGAAACTGTAATCCTAAAGTATGGAATACCATGAGGGTTACAAGAATTAGAATGTAATTAACAAAGTAATTTTTTTTTTGGTTTCGTAAGGATACTCTTGTTTCAGGTGAACATGATGTTCCTCCTTCAGCTTACATTCTGTTTTATGTTCTGAGGTTGCTGAGGGCAGCATGTAGAAGTGTAGGAACCTTCCAGTATGTTCTCTGTTGGAAGTCCTGTCAGTTCTCATTATGAATTTTCCTTATGTATGACATTAAAATATACCAAAATGCCAGAAACCTGTAGGCTTTGTCAAACACAGGAATCCCATTTCATTTTTCCTTGGTCATCAGCTTTTCTGTGGCTTTTCACCATTGTTTCTTTCCTGTGTTTGAGTGTAGCATGTGAATATATTCAGGATTGATAATAGCCGATTGATAATAGTTGTTGTTATTTATTGGATAAAGATCTTTTCACTTCTAAAAATTGTAGCTTTGACTGGGTGCAGTGGCCCATGCTTGTAATCCTGGCAACTCAGGAGGCTGAGGCAGGAGGATGGCAAGTTCAAGACCAGCCTGGACAACTTAATGAGACCCTTCCTCAAAATCAAAAATAAAAAGGACAAGGTGTGGTGGCACGTGCCTGTAATCCCAGTGGCTCTGGAGGCTGAGACAGAAGAATCATGAGTTCAAAGCCAGCCTCAGCAATGGCGAGGCACTAAACAATTCAGGTCTCTAAAACACAAAATAGTGCTGTACCAATAATAAATAAGTAAGTAAGTAAGTAAGTAAATAAATAAATAAATAGGGCTGGGGATGTAGCTCAGTGGTAGCACACTTTGGGTTCAATACCTAGTACTGTTAAAAAAAAAAAAAAAAAAGTTGTAGCTTTGGCATTGGCTGCCTTTTTGGAAAATGTCTCGACCACCCTTGGTGTAATCATCTACCTGTCTCTCTTTAGAGTTCTGTGATGTAAAAAATGTAGTTGCATAGTCTGTTTTTGAACTAGAGTTCTTTAATGTAAGAAATATAATTGCATTGTTATACCAGCCTGATTTTTTTTTTTTTTTTTTTTTTTTTTGTCGTGGTGCTGGTGATCAAATTCAGAGCCTTGCACATGGCAGGCAAGGACTCCACCACTTTAAGCCTTATTCTTATTGCTAAAGAAACAAGTTGAGAATTTAGGAACAATAGCCCTATACTAGCATCTCTAAAACTATTCCATAGCATAGGTGTTCTTTGAAATATGTATCTTGAAAATGTCTTTGGATTAAACAAATTTATTTGTTTACTACAGAATTTTTCAGAGCCCTTAATATGCTGGTATACATTATGCCCTTAATGAGAGGTGAATATACTAGACAATGTCCCTAATTTTTTCTTTTTTTGGTTTGGCAGTGCTAGGAATTGAATCTAGGGCCTTATGTATGCTGGACTAACACTGAGCTACATCCCCCACCACACACACTTGCATATTATCTGTTTACAGACTGCAGAACTGGTAACCTAGTATATATAGTTTAGAGAGCATTTGTCTGCTATGTTTGTTTTTCCTTTATCCTTAAGTCAGTGCACAGAGAGAACCATCCAGGAAAGTTTCCTGTGTGTTCTTCAGCATCTCAGCAAGCCTTTCTTATCACCCAACTGAATCACATTTTGTTTGAAAACCAGTGTGGATTTAATCATTTTTATTTCAACTGAAAGTAACTTCCTATATTACTTGGACCACATTTTACTTCTCTATTTCTGTTCCTAACATTTTTCTTCTTCAAAGAAACTCAGTTATTTACTTCTGACATTATGTTCTTGACTTTTCTTTGATAAATTAAAATCACCAAGCCCTCATTATTTTTTAACATAGTGTGATCATTTTGTTCTCTTAAAAAAAAGAACAAAAAAGATTTTGCCAGTGATTGTTTTAAAATTAAGTGCACTACACTATAAGTGGCTTTTAAAAAATATGTGCTTGGGCTAAGGTTGTGGCTCAGTGGTAGAGCGCTTGCCTAGTATGTGTGAGGCCCTGGGTTCAATCCTCAGCACCACTTAAAAATAAGCAAATAAAATAAAAAAATGTGTGCTTAACATGCTCTCTCCTGAGCTAAGAACTTGTCTTCCTTTTATCTTTTAATACTAATTTGGCCAACATGGCTAATTTGTGCTGGAAAAAAATCCCACCACTAGACTCTCAACCCTCCTCAGTAATGCCTGAGGATAACCTGGACTAGGTAACAGTCATCCAT